TCAGAACTTTTCTTTTATAAAAAAAATAATCTAAGAGATTTGGCACAGTCGGTGACCATTTCAATATGGTTGCAGATTGATGTTACATGAGGCTTGTATGTCTTCTAATACAAGAGTACGAAGAAAATTTATTAGCTGAGTAGGCTTCCTCAAGAAGTGTGGGGATTGGGAAGGGGTGTTGTGTATATCTCGTCTTCTGAAAAGAATAAGTATACCCTGCTTTGTGTATGACCCCTTGAATTATTAATATTTAATTGAAGTCATAAATTCATTTAAAACACCAACAGTAAAATGCTAACAGTAATCTTTTCTTTAATCCAAACAGACATTTATGATATCACTGGCTTTTTTTTTTTTATCTAAATCTGTATAATTCATTATAAGGTAGTCATGGTAGTCCATATTCCTAATATCTTGTAACTTTATTGAAATAACCATGCCAGTTAAAGAGATGAGCAATCACGTTAACAAGCAACCTGCTATTCTACTCACAGCTTGACCAAAACCAGACGCAAATTTTTTTTTGCACCTAAAAATACTAGTGGTAAATAGAAAAGCGGGCGGTAAAGTGAGCTTTATGAGTCGAGCGCTAAGACGAGAGCGAGTGGAATGTTTGTGGCCGTTTGTTGTTGAACAGCGACTCTAATATCAATGAGCCCTGTAATCGCGGAAACACATTTTCTCTCAATTGTTATCACTGTCAGACTAGCAACAGCAAAAAAAGAAGGCCAAAAGGCCAGCTTGTGAATTTGTTTGGGAGTACATTTGAACAATTATTTGTTAAGAACTGGCTACTTCACTATATCACAGTCAAGTACTTTAACTGGAGATTAAACATGGAACAGAAAGCTTGAATATAAACATTGTATTGTTATACACTGATAATAATAATAAAAATAGAAACTTTTCATACAGATAGCAAACTGTTACTAACGGAATCTAGAAATTTTAAATAAATCGGTACACTTTGAAAAAAGAATGGGTTGTCTGTGAAAATTGGGCTTGTTTATAATCAACAGGATGGACTGATAGTAACTTATAATGTCATTCAGATGCTCAAGTTAAGCTGGTTTTAAAACGCCAGCAATCATTAAGCTAACTTAATTTTGTCATCTTCTGAACATAAAAGTTGGGTTGGCTTAAAATTGTTGGCTCCAGCTATCTTGGAGCATTTGCATTCCATTGTTTTGTTTTGTAAATTTGAGGTGTCCAGTAGGATGAATATATGCAAGCATAGTTAAGTAGAACCTGTGACAAACTGTCAGAACTGTTGATATGAGCTGGTGTAAATGTTACATTCTTGTGGCTTACAAACACAGGCCATTTTATACTGGCTTATATATGGCTATCTGAACAGCATATTGGATACTAACATAAGTTTCATGACTTCTTCGGGCCACCTCCGATTAACCACAGTGTGTTTTTTTTTAGCTGAAAATTTTATTTCGATGGTAAAATGGTGTGCAGGCCAAGTTTGATATCTTATTGCTTGGGTGTGGAGGAAAACAAAGGAGCAGGGTGAAACTCCTGTAAACACAATCTGATCATATAAAAGGGGATCTTTTAATGTACACTATCCATTCTTTTCTGATCCATCCAAATGACTAGGCAGATTTTCCTGGTCAGCTCCTCGTCTTAGTTCTGACAAAGTGGGAAAGTTAGGTTGTATATAAATGTTATATCTAGATCGAGTGTGGAGATTATGTTAGCATATTTATATTTATAGCAGTTGTTTGTTAGTAGATATAGTAACTAACTCCTATGTTAAGATAATAAAGAGATCAAAAAGGTCAGATTAGTTGACATGTTACTAGTCCATAAATACAACAGACCTGTTACACTCATCAGTTTAGTAATTGGAATACTCTCACTTCTGCTTTTTGTCTACCAATAAAATCCAAATAGTCATTTTTGTTAGTTTTTTCATGCCTCACAAAAATTGATGTATGGCTAGTTGGCTGGGCTAGCTGACCATTAATACATTTACATAAATCTTGGCTTGATGGAATTCTTTTCATGTTAATAATTTGGTTTTCAATAAATAAACATTTTTGCCCTTGGTGGAATTACTCAGATTTCAAAAGAATAGACCTCTTTATTGGGTCAACAATAAGTGATTTTGTGTTCTACTGTCAACACAGTCAGCCAAAAATGAAACTAAAATTAGTAGGCTAGCTGGTGTTGCTTAATCTATTGAAGAAAAAATATAATCAGAAAGAACTTGTGCCATCACTAATCAATATAACATACCAGACCAATCTAATTCAAAACTTTTGACCTAAATCCAGAAGGTTTAAAATGAAGTCAAAATTGACTTACATGTAGCTGTCCAGTAATAAATTTATATAAATCTTGGCTTTATGGTTTCCATTTTGGAATTGTTGTAGGGTTTGTAATTTGGCTTTCAATAAATAATATAAGAATGTGAGCATTTCTTGGTTGTATCACTCAAATATGAAAAGAGGTCAACGTTGACTTATTGATAACCAACCATTAATAAATTTAGATAAATCTCAGGTTTATGTTTTTACATTTTGGAATTGTTTTGGTGTTAATACATTGGCTTTCAGTAAATAAAATATGAATTTTCTCTTTTCTTGGTGGCATCACCCAGATATAAAACAAGGTCAGAACGGAAGACTTTATTGGCACATTACAAAAAATCATCACTTTGAAGATGAAAGGCAAGCAAATGGAAGAAAGATCTTAATAGAATTTTCTGTCTTAAAAAATGGAAAACCCACAGTGGAAAATGGGACAATGGACCTAATCAAGATGTCAGACAATGTTCATGAAATGTCATACAAATCCTCTTCTCAAGTGGTTTATTCCTTCGGGCCAAATTTCAATCAACATAACAGAATGCCAGTCACACCCATGGGGGATGCCCATAGAATTCCTTTAGATCTTGCTCCAGTCTTGTCGTCACTTAAAACCTCTCTTATTCCTCGTACAAGGCACTGTGTAAATAAATTTGCAATGAAATTCAAATAAAGTTTGGAGTGTCAGAATAAATCCTACACCTTCCATTTCGGTCTTCATTATCTCCAGTTGAAGATAATTGAAATATTTAGAAGTTAATTCTTAATTAAAAGGTTTAGTGTGTCAAATTTGAGCTGATTGGCTGTTAGCTGTAGACAGGTGTGATGCATAGCAAATAAGAAATCACATAACAGAAATAATATCAAATGTACTTGGTCTTTGATATTGTATGTTGAATTGAGTCAAAGCATTAAAAAAAATGACTTTGTAATTAATTGTTTCTGTTGAGTTTATAGAAACTGGAAACATAAAGTCTCTCAACGCCTGTTTAATGATTATTAAAAAAGGGTGATTCTAACCTACAATGATAAATTAATGTTTGCCATATTAGTCTAATCTGTTTGTATTAAAAAATGTATTCTGTTCTTACAACATCTGAAACATAATTTATCAGGCCTAAACAACCTTTTAATGAAAAAATTGAACAATCAATATGTGTGTCCTTGATAAAGGAAAAGGTAACTTATTTTTATCAGATCATCTGGTTCATATCTTAATACTCCTGAACTCAGACCCTGATAATCTTCAACTTAAAGATCAGTACAACTACAAACACCAATCCTTAATATCCAGGTCTTTTTATTTCTTAACTCACACACATCATTATACTTTGGAATTCAGACTCTCTTACTCCTTCTCAAACCCTGATACTCTTACTTAAACTCTCATACCTTCTTACTCTTACTGAAATCATGTTACTCTCTTACTCCTCAAACCCTCATACTCTTACTCAAACCCTGATACTCTCTTACTCCTCCTCAAACCCTGATACTCTCTTACTCCTCCTCAAACCCTGATACTCTCTTACTCTTACTCAAACCCTGATACTCTCTTACTCCTTCTCAAATCCTGATACTCTCTTACTCCTTCTCAAACCCTGATACTCTCTTAATCCTCCTCAAACCCTGATACTCTCTTACTCCATCTCAAACCCTCATACTCTCTTACTCCTCCTCAAACCCTGATACTCTCTTACTCTTACTCAAACCCTGATACTCTCTTACTCCTTCTCAAATCCTGATACTCTCTTACTCCTTCTCAAACCCTCATACTCTCTAATGCACATCTAGATAATCTCTAAAATATGTCCCAGATACTGAAATCCTTATTAGAGATGATACCAAGGTCCTTAAAATCACTAAACTCAGAGGATCAAAACTGCAGATTAAAGGTATCCAAGGGGATTATGGTTCAAAATAATATATTGATTTTTTTTTTCTGAGAGGTAATCGGCCTGAATTCTGTATTCAAATATTTATATAATGTATTTTTTAAAAAGATGACTCAACATCTTTCACCCCCTAGGCTCAGACATTAAAAAACAGTTCCATAAAGAATAAACAGTAATTTTGAAGACTAAACATTGAGAGTAGAGATTGGAAGTTAATGTACAGAGAGTTGATATAAAATATAAACATTGAGGGAATATAGCTTTAATTACTAGACAGGTGTCTAACTGATGACTATATTAGACTGGTAGACCGTTTGAATGTGGACAAATATAATCATTATAATGTTTGTTGATATAATGTCCAGTTGTCCATCACAGACCATTCATCTTGTTTATATTCTGTGAGAATAGTGTTATTCTTTCTCAGCTACTCCAAATTAACTCAGCCTTAAGGTCACGGAGGTCAATGAGCAGTTTTTGTTACTTGTAATTAAATCGGTTGTAAAAAATTAACTTCTGTCAAGGTTATGAATTGGGGTCATTTCTAAAACGATTTCTGCATGCAAAGAATAATTTCCAAATAATACTAGTTGATATTTTAATAAGATTGTTGATGAAGTAGAAAGAATATGAAAAGCTTGCATGAATGAGAGATCTGCTGGGACCATGCTCCAAAGAATAAATGACTTTTTTGTGGGAAAATTTCTAATATTTTTGATTTTAATTGGAACCTTTGTACTTGTGTTTTTTTTATAAAGCTTAATTTTCATTGTTTTGTCTATTTCAGATATTTAAAGGCAATCTTGATACATACAGAGCTGAACTACGTGAAGTGTCACCACCAATAATAGCTAAACGAATTCGCTTTATTCCTTACAGTCAGCATCCTAGAACTGTTTGTATGAGGGTTGAGATGTATGGGTGCCCATGGGAAGGTAAATGACATTATTAAATAGACTTTATATCTAGTTGGAAAGAGGGGTTGGATGGCCGATTGGTTAGCACGTGCGCGCTGTATCATGGCATAGTCTCGATCCCCTGGTTGTACGTGACAAGGAGAAGGGTCGTCTGTCCAACCTTCTGGGTTTTCTCTGGGTCCTCCAGTTTCCTCCCATTGCTAAAGACCCCTACGCGCAAGCGAATTATTGAAATAAAATTGAACCATATGTTAGTCCCAAAATGACCTAAGTTTGTGTCCGGTGGATGTTAAACCCCATGTCTCTCTCTCTCTCTAGTTGGAAATTTTTAACAGCAAGACCTGTATTTAAGGAACTACAAAAACTATTCATTGGAATCTCATGTTTTGATAAAAAATTTTTTTGATAGTTTACAATCTGTCTTTGTTAAAACTTTACATCTATAGATAAACCCAGTGTTCAGTAGAGATACATCAATTCTGCATTCCACTTTCGACACAGTAAACCCCAAATTAGTAAACAAGTCAACTTTTTGCTTAATCTTTCAAAACAAAAATTGAATCAGATAGAGCTTGCCACATCATTAATCAAAATAAATAATCAGATCAACCCAATTCAATACTTTATTTTGACATAAATTAAAGAGGTTAAGCACCTTTACGACTAAATACTGCAGTTCAGTGTGATCAATGGTTTTTAATATAAGTTGGGAGTGTGGGACTCTGCATGGCTCTGAACTGTATTATAGTGAAATGTTTATATATAGAATATAACAGTCTTTATGGTGTTGTAATATAATTATGAGTTAACATGACTAATCCTAGATAGGAAGTAGCTCTGTTGTCTGAAGCTGCAATGCCACAAAACACATAATAACCGTTGGGAACTATTTGAGATAATGATTTATATAAAAATTGTATGTATTTTGGCAAAAGAAGTAGAACAATCTATAATATATATATATGGAAGCTGTTTATATCTTTTAACTTCTGATATAATTGGTAGAGAACAGTTGAGCTTCATAAATTAACACAGCATGAGCAGTAGCTAAGAAATGAGATGAAATAAAATGGGGTTTAACATCCTACATTTCTGAAACAACTGCCCTACAGACTACTCTTATTTTAAATTCCAACTCCCTGATGTACTTATATTGTTTGTGACCAACACTCAATTTTTTTTTCTTGCATTTTAAAGGATTATTTTTCAACAGTTGTCAACATTTGGAGGCAGACCACCATTAATTTCCCCATTGACTACAGTGTTAATTCTGTCACTTTGACCAGCTTCAACTTTCCGCAAATTGCTATAAATAGACGAACTACAATTTGTGGGTACTGAGATGGCAAAATTTAATGGTGGTCTGCCTCCATTTTGTGTGTAGATTTTTAGATTATCTCCTCTTAAGTACAGACGGCTAAATTTTTTCATAAGATTGAGTTGAGAAATAATGCCCAATACATCTATAATGGGATAAAAAGTAGATAGGCTCTGTAACCTATTACAAGTGCTGCCAATTGACGTCTGATGCAGGTGGTTGTGGGAATCAAGTAGGGCTGGAATATCTTGATTGATGAGTCTCCCTTTAGACTTTAAGTACCTTATACCTGATACAAACCTTTGTTTTTCTCCAGTCTTTTGTTGATTTATTTCAAGTTAGCTTGATGAGAAAATAATAAGGTTTCTATCTGTCAGTCAGCAGGTTAAGTTTGGCAGTGATGAAAAGCAAGTTAAATATTGATATAAGTATAAGATAGGAGAAGATGATGGACTAAGATATAACTAGACACTCATCATTTTTTACATCATATACAACTATCTTATATCTACTTGGGCATGTGAGATGTTAGGTGATGGGGGGTCTAGGGGGTTTTAATCGATCAAATCCTCCTGATTATCCTAAAAAGTATATTTGGTTAAGACCAACAAAATCAGAAATTTTAATATCTTCTAGAAAATACAAGAGAACTGTACAAAAACGTACAGACAGAACAGATAATACAGAAAAACAATATAGACGTCAGAAATAAATATGCATCAGGTTACTAAAGGCAAAAAGAAACTTGATAAAGAAAGAAAATTGTGGTTTGGGTTTGAGTCATTATTCCTTAAAAAACTGTGCAAGCACCAAAGAATTCTTAATTGGTCCTATATGCATATGAATCTTCAGAATACAGAATTGGCACTACAAAAATGAACGCCCAAAATTCTTTTGATCTATTAATATATAAAGGAATTCATGGATTTCAGCATTACATCTCAATAATATAGTTGTCTTTAAAAAGATGTAAAAAGGTTCTGATGAGATTATGATAAAACACACTCATCAGAGTTTTTTCGGTTGATCTGTTTATTTAGAACATTCATTTTAACATTTTGGAATCAGTAAATCTTAAAAATGTAGACAAAACAAATTCTCTTGTCAAAAATGTGCTTTATCCGCTTATCGGTAGAAATTTTGTCAATGCCAATGTTGAAGGATCGTGAAGGATTTTTGTCTGCCATCCGCTTTTTTGATTCTGTCAGCAATATCAGTGGTAGGGTATTCATGTAGATTTAGTTGGTATAGATTTCAAATCTGTATTTTAGTTTAACCGAAAAAACAGGAATTGTTGGTGCCATGCTAAGATAGGGTATGCTTACTCTCTGAAGAACAGCTGATGCCATATCTTGTTTGATACTCATCTTCATTAGCCCAAGGGGAGTTGGATGACCAAATGGTTAGCATGTGTGCGCTGTATCATAAGGTCTGTCGTTTAGTGAACTGGCATTGTTTCGTTTCCCCAGTTGTACGTGACAAGGAGTAGGGTCGCCTGTCGAACCTTATTGGTTTTCTCCGGGTCCTCCAGTTTGCTCCCACTGCTAAAGACCACCACATGCAAACAAATTATTGAAATAAATTGAACCATGTGTTAGTCATGAAATGATGTATTTTGTGTCGAGTGGATGTTAAACCCCATTTCTCTCTCTCTCATTAGCCCGATTGGTGCAGAAATGTAGGACATTACCATGTCTCATTGCATATACATTGTAAATTTTTGTTTCAACTTTTAGTTTTAATTGCACTGTTTACCAATCTTAAAGTCGTTTGACATTTTGGAAAAATTATTCTATCAGTGTAATGACACGACAACAAAAAATATGTTTAAAATAAAATTATGAATATTATTAAGGTAGACACTGAATGACATTTTGAGATTTAATAATAAAAAAAATGTGTGTCGTTATTGATTATATTGTGAGACAATGTTAGCAGACTGCAGTAAATTAACTTTCGTGTCAACTGATTTAAAGTTTTCACAATATGTTGTCTCCCAGGCGATGTTCTCCTCGCTTCTCATATTCACTCAACTTGATCCTAGACAGCCAGAGTTTGTGAAAGACAATGCCAGAAGAAATGATTCCAGTAATTTCTCAAGATTCTATGATGCCCTGTCTTTGTTCTTATTAATTATTCTCCTTGAGGTTTTTTTTAATAAATAAATTTCCAAACCATCGCTTGAGTTAGAAGAGTCTAAGGATTGTTCATGTCTAGCTCCCACTTGTCAGAAATGAGATAAAATGGGGTTTAATGTCCTACTGATTTGTTCAGACCAGGATAATGAAGATGGACATATGCCATACAGTGTGCTATGAGGGAAATGTTGCCCGGACAGCGGCACTACAGCCTACTCTTATAAAGAATTCCAACTGCCAAGGGAACTTTAACGTGAACACCAATGTGTACACTGGACCTGTTTTTTTTTTGTCCCATCCAAACGACTATACATCCATTGCCAGCTCCTCTGTCCTGCACCACTGACATAGGGGAACCACTCCACGTTAGCGAGCCAACGTCTGACCTGCCGAGCAACCGTGGTTCCCCCCACTTGTCATGGGTAGTGCCTGCATGGCTGACAAGTAGAGTGTTTGCCTAATCATTTAGATGGGACAAAAAAACAACCGAGGTCCACCTGATTACACATTGACTTGCACATGAAAGAATGCCTGACCGAATACAATTTGATTTTTCCTTGTCATTACAGATATCATGCTTTCAGAGGGTTGAACAGATAAGACTTGTTTGAAATGCTGTGCTACATAAATATGAGAATTATTATTAACATCATTAAGTAATTTCGAGATAACACATTTTTAAGTTAAAGAAATGAATTTTAACTCCAGAACATATCTTTAAGTTAAAGAAACAAACTTTACTCTAGAACATATCTTTAAGTTAAAGAAACGAATTTTAACTCTAGAACATATCTTTAAGTTAAAGAAACAAACTTTACTCCAGAACATATCTTTAAGTTAAAGAAATGAATTTTAACTGAATTTTAAGTTATAAGAAACAGATTTTAATATGTATATGGCAAACAATGAGATAAATATGTTAGGATTATTAGAATATGATAAATCAATTTAATTTCCAGTAAAATATTGATTTCTTTAAGTAAATACATCAATATTACAACCTTGGTTAAATGCACAAACAAATAACTTAAATTACTTACCAAATGTCATCCAGTTCAATAAAAATTAGAAAAAATAACAGGCTTTGCTAACACGGAAATCGACTAATGGGGCAGAAACACTGATAGATATTACTACAATACACTGCTTAACTTAAAGAAGAAATTTATGGTTCAAACATTTCCTCAAAGCAAAAAATGTGAACTATAAAATGTATTTTAGTTATATTTCAACCACAAAATGTCATTCTATAAAAAAAAAAAATGTATATGCATTAACAAGTATTCCTCTGCATCTGGATAGTTTCTGGGTAAATCTAATGTAAAAGGCCTATTTACATGACAAAGTTACTATTAGTTATCAAGGATACATTTTTCTGTGGTGGAAAACCACCATTTTTTCTTTATTGATGATAATAATACAGATGAGAACTCTCTAATGGTGGGTTGTTATAAGATGGGTCTCAACATGGCTCCCTGCAGCATTATATTAAATCCATTTATTCTACTAAGGTATATGAGAAACTCACTAATTTCTTTTAGTTCCCTTAATCCATACTCCTCGCAGTGTGTCGTTTGATTAGAGATAATCCCACTTAACACTGCTGTAATGGAAGCAAATTTCTGTTCCAAATTATGACTGGTCAATAGTCCGATTAACAACCAATAGCTAACTGTGTAACAATATCAATACGCTTTAAACAGAGCTCCAAATTAGACCAAATATGTTTACATAACGTTACGTCATGACTCACGATTTTATTATGCCCAATTAACCAGTGCATAGTAGAATATTGCAGAAAAACTAATTAGGTGACAACTCGGATACAATGTAAACAATACTGTTTAGAGACGAACAATACTTTTACCGTTTTTAATACCTTAAGTCACTGTCCAAAGTTTTAGGGAAGACCTCTGATTAAACGAAGGACTGTCATGTTGCTGTACTTGGAATAGATTTGACTGAACGGGAAGAATAGACACACTCCCCCAAAAGCTCAAGTATCAGAAGCCAATCCAGCAATGGCTAGAGTGGGATTTCGCGGGCCATTGCTTTAGGAATAGGCCTTAATCTAGCTTACAAACATTTCTGTTTGAAAATAACATGTCTTAAATCTGTTTTTTGATAGAAATAATTCTTAATATTGTGCTGTAGAAGACTACCAAATAACAATAATAATCAGTTGTTCCCAATATCAGTGACTTGAGCGTTATCGTGAAGCCCCAGTATATGATTTTGTTTTTATATTTAAACTAATATAAATTATTTTTATGTATTTGTAGATGGTTTGGTGTCGTATGATATGCCACAAGGCAGCAAACGGGGCAATGAAGTCGACTTATACGATTTTACTTACGATGGAATGATCAATGAGCAGTTATCATCAGGCTTAGGTCAACTTACAGATGGAGAAATGGGTGACACCAACTTTCGACTGGATTCTTTAGGTCTTGGTATGAAAGGCTATGAATGGGTCGGCTGGAAAAATGAATCTGGAAAAACAAAACCAATAGAGATCATTTTCAAATTTGACACAGTCCGTAACTTTAGTGGATTAAGTCTCCATTGTAACAACCATTACAGTAAAGATGTTTGGGTATTCCGTAAAGCTGAAATCTTCTTTAGTATTGGAGGAAAATATTACAACACAACCCCGATCGTGTTTGAATTTGTTCGAGATGAATACTTTGAAAATGCCCGACCTGTACTGATCCGATTAAATCACCGTGTTGGAAAATTTATCAAATTGAACTTGTATTTTGAATCACGATGGATAATGATCAGTGAGGTGCAGTTTACATCCCGTAAGTTCTCATTTTTTTATCATCTTTTCTAGCTGTTTTATTCTGAGCAGAGCTTCAATCAGTAAATTGCGACTGTTCAACCATTATATACAAAATTGGTGTAATCACTGAATCGCAATAAATGAGAATTTGTGTCACTGGAAGCTACATAGCAATGTTGTAAATGCCATGATTTCGGAAATAGCAAAGTCTGGTTTTACCATTTATTTATCACCTATTTTACCTACAGCAGTCTTAGAATATTATATCTTACTCAAACACACACAATGTTCAAAAAACATAAAATAATGACTTTTACATGCACAAATATTTATGTTTGTTTGTAAATTCTGAATTCTATGTTTAACTGACAAAGGTGAATGTATATTTATGGGTAAACAATTACTTAGATTTTTTTCAACTTCTAAGAAATGCATTTTGATTTAGAAAAAAATATCCTGAGAATGCAGATTCCTCTTGTATATATGCATTTGGAGATGTCTTTGTTACTGGCCCCAAAAATTGTGTTTAAAGGGGAATAACTCTGTTTAGAGAATGTCAATGGTAATCCGTTGGCTGGGATCCGCCAAATAACAATATGTTGTCAGATATTCCTTATTTCTCTCCTCAAAATTCTTAAATGTTGATATTATTTACTGAAAGGTCAGTCTTTATATATTGCCATTCATCGTCTGTAATTTCATGTGAATACTATAGACTAGCCTACAGTTATGACCGGATCTTTTTTAAATTTCTTTGCATTGTTTATATTTGTGGAATGAAGAAGTCTGTTGCATTTTTACAATGTTGGTCCATCCCTTACAGAATAATGGTACTTGTTCACATTGTAAAATATTGTGAATGCTCTAGTGACAAAAGTTAGCATTCGATCTACTTGAAATTTATATGCATTTTTCCAATTAGCGACTCGAACAATCACATCAAATTGCAACAATAACTTTCCTTGCAATTACTTACCGATTTATTGTCCTTGATTATGTTATAAAACCATGTCATGGTACCAATGATATTTGTTTTTTTATTTACATAAAGATTCACAATGGACTGATTGGACGACTAATCTGCTGTCGGCATGTTTTGTTATCTTTAGATAAATTAATTATATTTTTTTACTATTTTCTAGAAATTGCCCATGGTAATTTTACACCTGAATCGGCTCCATTGACGACACTTCCACCAACTTCTAACCCAGGTGATAAATCCGAGAATGATATAAATGAGGATTTTGACAAGTTATCAATAGAACTTAATGGTTAGTAACCTAGATATTTTATTTATTTATTTCACACGTTATTTACATGGAAACCTGAAAATCTTCGATAAACATAAGTCTCTTGCCCAACCAAACAATTTTCTGATTAAAACATTCAACATGTGATCTGACTTCATAAATGAGGCGAACAAAATGATTACCGAACAAAATATTGCCAGCTTTTGCTACATCAAAAACAGTAAAGTCATTTTTAAGGCAAATATTCTGGAAACTCAAAATAAGTAAAAAAAATGCAAAATAATTGGCCTATTGCATGCATTTCATTTAATGGGAGCAGCAGTTATCATAGGTTCAAATTTCGTTATGTGTTATCCTGTTTTTGTGATCAACAAATAACACAAACCATACATAAATTTTTGACATGGCAAAATGAATCAATCAAGAAGGGGAATGCTTCATTGTTAGTCTGGAATTTCCAGATTGACAGAACTGCAGTGGAATGACACAGACATCAGTACTGTAATTCCCAATAACTGATGTAGTATATGAATCGTGATGTAATTAAACACAATGCACATATTTCAACGGTATTCCCCTTTCACACGATTGCCAGTATTCGTGAGATTGAGAGAATTCAAAGTGTTTTTTCTTTGTGTATTCAAGGATGAATGGTAAAAGAGAATTGTATATTTTCAGGAAATACAGAGACAGAAGATATACAGAAAGAGAAAGAAGAGAAGGAATATGATGATAGTTATATTGGTGTTATTATTGGTGCTCTAGCGGCTCTTATACTCATCCTTATAATTGTCATCTTTATCTTCTTCTATCGACATAAACGTAATAAAAACAATAATAATCGACGAGCTCTGAAACCAGTCGTAGATCGACATGTCACCATCAATCTCAATGATCTCCGCGGCAGCACTAACGGTAAAGTTTCAAATGGTAATATGTACAACAGTATAGCAACCGAGGACATGGACTCAGATAAGGAGCTGACGTGTAATGGCGGAGACAAAAATGGCAAGAGCCCCGCGTACTTGGAACCAAAAGATACCATCCAGACTAGATCATTGCCAGATGTCCCTGCGAGCCGTGATTCGGGTGGTTCGTACCTTTACCCCTCACTCATAATAAATTCTCAGTGGGCAGACTTGACCTTGACCTTCCTCTAAGTGCATGTCGTCAGGTCTATACTGATCTTTACTTCAAGAAATATTTTCTTTGGTTACCATGGTGGTACAAAAACGTTTTTTTTAATGTTTAATAATAAATTTTAAGCTACTTATATGTTGTTTTGATCAATATATAATTTTGGAATAAGAAAACAGAGTGAAAAAAACACCTAATGGCAACTAACTAAAGAATTTCTCGGGGAACTTATTCTATCTTCTATTGTATATAACATCTTTCTCGCAAAATTAGAATTCAACCAGAAATGTGCATTGATGATTCTAATTTATTAGGAATATGTTGTCCACTAACTTATAATTGCTTGACGAGATCGTCCACTGATTAATGTACAGGTACTTCTTAGAACAGATAATGCTTCCTTTAAACATATTACGGTCTGTAGGTCAAGTTAGTAATCTATCATATTGTTATGTATGCAATGCTATATAGTGTAATAATCAAATTAATATGAATATTACGACAAATTTTCTAGTTAGAAAAGTTCTGCATGATATTATTTTTTGTTGAACAGTGGTTGAATATTTGTAAATTTATCAAAAAAAAAATTAGACTACATCTTCTTATGATTTTATTAGCAGCATTCAAATCATTGTTTACTGACTGTTCCATTTATCAAATGAATTAAAATTTGAATTTCATTAAGACATATTTAGATTGAAAAGTGTTGGTTTCAGTAAGAAGAATACCCAAAAAGCTTGATTTGAACTGTTCTGTTATTCTTTTATTTAGTTATTTATACTTTAAAGTTTGCATGATAGTGTAATAAGCTATAGATAAGGCACATAAATCTATTCTTCATCTGCTGTGGGATATTTGGAAAGCTCATAGTCTTTATTAATATAATGAAACATAGCAATGATTATTATTTATTGTATATTTAAAATATTTTTTTTTTTTTTCAGAATCTCAAGATTACGCTGTTCCTGATATTACCAAATCTGCTCTTATAGTAAATCTACCGCCACGCCCACCTCAGTCATTACCAAATGTAGAACCTGTTATGATGAATGGTCCACCACCAAATTATGATGCTCTGTACGCAGCTGCTGATGTGGTTAACGTTCAGAATGTGTCCAGTTTACAGGGTGTGAGTGGTAATAATGTCTACGCTGTACCTAATGCAGACCTTCTGTTAACTATTGACTATTCCGTGATGGAGTTCCCTCGTGAAAATCTACGTTTCTTAGAAGTACTTGGTGAAGGGCAGTTTGGTGAGGTAAGACAAGTTGACATATTTCATAATAAAAAGAAAGTTTTTTCTGATAGTTCAGCAAAACATAGATGAAACAATACCAGAATAATTCACAGATAATCCAATATTTCAATGTGAATTGCAAATCCTGACCATTGCATGGCAGATCTTTTGTTGTGTCATCAGTGAGTTAGATTGTAGTAACAAGACGTAGATTCTATTGTCTAATCGAGTGTCTCCACTGTTAAAAAGCACAACACACTAGTTAAATATATCAGAAGAATGCTATTGATAGTTTTCTCCAAGTCCTTTGGTTTCTTCATACTGCTAATGACCGTAAGGGCAAGTGAATTATGGAAATAGCAAGTACCAGTGTTCTATGGACCAGGAACTGTGTATGACATCATTGCTGCCATCTTGGAATTATCGCATCATATCAAAAGTCTGTCAATCAATGCAAAATTGTCCAAGGCACAAGCATGCCAAGTTTCATGTCAATCGTACATTTATTGGTGGAGCCTTAGGTTTTTATCAAGAAGCATTGCCCCAAAGAACAGCAAGATAAGTAGGTTTGGCCGAGTTCATGTACTATATGTTAATCCTAAAATGAACTAATTTGTGTTGAGTGGATGTTAAACCTCATTTCTCTCTCTCTGTATGTTTTATGTATTCAGTATTATAATAAGAATATGATATTTTCACTTCAGGTACATTTATGTGAAGCTGTTAGAATCAATGAACTACTCAATGATGACTACTTGACGAATCGAACACTCTCTCGATCTATGCTAGTAGCAGTTAAAATGTTACGACCAAATGCTGATGATCGAGCAAGGTGAACTATAGGGGCTTTTATTTACTTGAAAAACATAATACAGGCTTTTTAAATATCCATTTAATGAGTATCCGGGAAAGCAAATTGTTTTTAAAGTATTCTTCTAGTATGTTGAAATATATCCGATTATAACAGACTGACATGAGATCAATATCATTAATTATAGTTCATTAATAAATCAGTATTTGTCAAGTCAAGGATCTTTCATATGAGATGTACAAACCCTTGACATTCTATTAGCTACATTATAAGGACACTTTTAACCTCCCATTCAAAGCCAAGTTATTAGGATGTTAAGCAATGAAATCACCCACGCTGCACTGTCATGTGTCAGATGTTAGTGAATTATTGAAGTTTGCAATGTGGGATTTCTACAGATATTTGTTATCAAAGATTTTATAGATATATTTGTTTTTCTAAGATATTAGGAATTTAGGAAACCCATCCAAAATTCTTATGAAACTTGGGGGGGTTGGATGGCCGAATGGTTAGCATGTGCGCGCTGTATCATAAGGTCTGTCATCGAGTCAACTGGCGTGGTTTAGATTCCCCGGTTGTACTTGACAAGGAATAGGGTCACCTGTCCAACCTTGTGGGTTTTCTCCGGGTTCTCTGGTTTCCTCTCACTGCTAAAGACCCCTACTCGCAAGCTTGAAATAAAATTGAATCATATGTTTGTCCTGAAATGACCTAGTTTGTGTCATGTGGGCGTTAAACCCCATTTCTCTATCTCTATATGAAACTGTGTTCCACCTTTATAGTGGTGCCCTTTCTTGTCGCCTGATCTATGGGGCCTGCTTTTATGTGTTTCCATCAAACTTGTTGGTGGATGTTGGCAATCAAATCCTGGGAGAAGGATAAAAGCTTAACAGATATCAATATTTGATACTTTGACATCCATATTTTACCAATGTTATAATGAATTTTGTTTTTAAATGGTGTTTTCCAGATCGGACTTCCATAAAGAAATCAAGATAATGTCTCAATTGAAAGATCCTAATATTGTACGAGTATTAGGTGTATGTACGAGAGAAGAGCCGTTATGTATGATCGTGGAATATATGAAATATGGTGATTTGAATCAGTTCCTATTGGAACATGTAGCCGAATCACCAGTTGCAGAAGCTACCAATGCTAAAACCCTTAGGTAATATATAAATATTATCATTAATGATGTGTTATTTTGATAAGTAGGATTTAATTGATTAAGATTGGTTTAAAAGATTGATCAGAAGTCAGCATGTTTGCAAGTTTCATTTTTGGCAACAGTAGAACTCAAAATCAGTTGTATATTGTATTTGTATAATTATAACTTGTATAATGTATATAACATATAACTTATAATGTATTTGTATAATGTACTTAATGTGTATTTTATTTTGTAGTTATGGCTGCTTGATTTATATAGCCACACAAATTGCTTCCGGAATGAAGTACTTGGAATCATTGAACATGGTACATCGTGATCTTGCTACTAGAAATTGTTTAGTCGGACATAATTTCTGTATTAAGATCTCAGATTTTGGAATGAGTCGAAGTTTGTATAGTGCTGATTACTATAGGATAGAGGGACGAGCTGTTCTACCTATTAGATGGATGGCCTGGGAAAGCATACTTTTGGTATGATGATTTTTTTTTTTCAATTTATTACAGCTCTATGATAGGATTTGTCCAATTCAATGTCTGAAGCAATGTGAAATACCAAAGTAATGTAGCAATAATTTTATGACGTTTGCAATAACTTGGTGCCATTAATCAGCCTTTAATCATACTCATTGCTAAATATGCAAATTGATTTAGAAATTCTAGCAGTTTAATACTAATAAGGAGAATTTTGCTCAGACAGTGGCATTATTTCTTCATTCTTTTTATTCAATTCCAGCAGTCAAGTGTTCTGTGCATCATCAATATTTTTTTTTTATATTTTTATTCAGGATATCTGAATGATATTGGGGAACAGGTTTAGCGGGCGATATTATATACCGGAAAACACAGTGTTTTCTGGTATATAGTATTGCTGGGTTTAGCCTATGTAAAACCCCTCTCAATATTTAGTCAATTTTGCTTACAATATTTGACATATAAGTTTGCTACAAATATCTACAGTCCTACTTACAAGTTAGATAGGTTAATCAAGTTAATTTCTTGCTGTAAACGTAATGAAATTGTTGTTATGGTCACCAAGTTGAAATTCTTATAAACAAAAGTAGGGGAAATGATCTCCAGTTTTTCAGATAGAATTTCTTTTACAGTAATTACTGATGACAGTTGAAAATTAACACTAGATAGACCTTTTCTGGTAGGATTTTAGTGACACTTTATTTTTTTTTGTGTTTTCAGGGAAAATTCACAACGAAGAGTGATGTATGGTCTTTTGCTGTAACTCTGTGGGAAGTTCTTACTTTTGCCAAGGAGCAGCCATATGAATCATTAACAGATGAACAAGTTATTGAAAACGCTGGACATTATTATCGTAATGATGGACTTCAAATAGTTCTACCTCGACCCTCAAATTGTCCAAAGGAAATATTCGATTTGATGCGGGAATGCTGGAATCGACAAGAGAGTGAGCGCCCCTCGTTCCGTGAAATCCACATGTTTCTTCAACGGAAAAATATGGGATACAATCCGAAAGACGAAAAAATGAACCAAATAAAAGTTCCTATTTGTTAAAAAAACAAAAAGAAGTCCCAGTGTGAACTTTTATTGGAAGGAGACAAAGCTAGTCAAGAAAGCACATATCAACTATTTAGGAGATGATATGTGTTTTAATATATTGGTTGCCATTTTTCATGGTTGTGCACTTGTCTCCCTTCGTTAATGAAGATTTCTGTGAAGGGAGATAAAGAGATTTTAGGGTGCTATCATATTTTTATCTCTTGTGTGGATTCATTGATACCAAAGGTTCTATAAAAAAAAACTTATTTACCATAATAAAAAAAATAATAACAAGACTTAACTTGCATTCTATATAGCTACAAACTGCAACGATATAGAAGTTGAGTGGTACAAACTAAAACAACAGAGAGAGAAAAGATATTAGGATGTGCTGTATCTAGATTCCTGTCATTAATCTGTGATTGTCTTGCTCAACTTGTGCAAGGGATATTGTTTCCATAGTAACAAAGTGATAAATATGAACGACAATATTTCTCACGGATGCTGATAATGACGATTTTGTGTTTTTAATTTGATTTTAATTACATTATTATATGATACAAGTGAGCGAATATAATTTGAGAGATTAAAATCTATATTTCTGAGATTATTATTCCAATTTGATAATTTTTATAATGGCTGATAGTAAGGACCTTGATTTATAGTATATTTAGCTTCATCATGTGAATAAGATTATTAAATATTATTTAGACATATTGCTAGTACTTAACTGCATGTCAAAATGTAGTCCTATCCATAGAACTATGAATATCAATAGCTTTTAAATATAGCGCTGAATGCATTTGTATGATGAAAGACATGACAACATATTATATGCTTCGACTTGTGCTCAAGTTCAAAGTCAGTGATGAAGAAACTTGTTATTTTTGCGATGCTGATGGAAAAGTTAAATTATTTAAAGTTATTAATCACAAATAATAAAATTGTTTACACTATTTTAAAAACATCATGATATATCCACATTATTGAAACATTTTTTAAAATGTAGAAATTAATAAATCATTTCTTACAGTATATAAAATCATTGTGAATTTTGATCTGAACTTAATTGTTTAGAACTGCTTTACATGCCCACTGCCAGTCAAAACTTTATTCACCATGTATCATTTACACTAGATGTAACGAACACGGAGCAGAGTTGTCTAACTTACCGGTTTGGATAAAATCTGTACACTACAATATTGAGTGCTAGAAATATCAGTAATCTGGCTGAGATCTTGGAGATACATTTGGATTCCAGAAAAAAGTGTTGTATGTTGGACAACCCTTCTGTTCAGATCATATGTGTAGTATAATGATACACACGGTTATTGTATACTGACTGTTGCCATCTATTTGTTATTAGCCAGAATTAATTCATCAATAGCAAGTGTTTTTAAAATTATCCATATATGCTACTAGCAGTTTTATAAAAGGAGCTTTCTTCTGTCACTGTCAGTTGAGAACGTCTTAGGTGCTTGTGATCACCAGTGCTATCTGTGTGCAGTAGAAATCAACAGTTTGGTACACAATTAAATCTGTACTCTAGTAAACAAAAAGAAGTTGAATAATCAAAACTTGTGACTGGCAGTCAACATGTTCAGCTTTATTTTATCCAATGTTTTATGTAAAAAGAGCAATGATTTGTATGAAGACTGAAAATATTTATGACTAATGCCAAATAATAGTGATCACCTTGGATTTACTAGTATTATTAATTTTGAAAATATTTTTGCATGTATATATGGCTGTAATAAATTTGTCCTCATTTAATTGTGAAAATTATCACCAAAATATGTAAATATAAGTCACCTTCAATCCTAAATATGTTGACGTTATTCTGAATGGTTCACATTAATTTTTCATATTCTATGCCAAATATTTCAGACCAATTCAGGGTTGTTCACTAAAATATAAGATAAATTAACAGATATACGAAAACCACTACACTTATTATGTAGGTATACCATGGCTTCAAAAATAATAGACCATAATAATATAGCCTAGGGCAAATTTGATTGAGATGTAATCTGGATTTACAATCTTGAATTTGTTGATATATTTACAATCTAGAATTTGATAATGTATTTACAATCTGGAATGTAATTATGTACTCATTGTCTGGAATGTAATAATGAATTCATTATCTGGACTGTAATAATGTAAATACAATATACAATAATTGGAATAAGGAAATTAATGAAATATTTACAACCTAAAATTTGATGAAAATATTACAATCTCTAGAATTTGATGATCTATTTACAATCTAGAATTTGATACTGAAATTAGAATTTGATGATGTATTAATTGCAATCTAGGATTTGCTCTACATTGTATTTACAATTTTGATTTTGATGATGTATTTATTATCTACAAAACAATAATTTAAATTTAAACTAATTGTGATTCAGATTCGCCACAAGTCAAATGCCTCTTCTATAGTATCAAAGTAGACAAAATGGTTGCCATCTTTAGGAGTGACCTAAATTATTCGCGATTGTTTTGTAGTAATTGTCACATTTATGTTCCAAAAGTGTCGAGCCTCTGCACATCTGTATTGTAAAGTCCATTAGCATAATTCACTTTAGACGTGGATATAGTTTTAGAAAAACATCAGTGATTTTTGTTTTATTAATATAAATTCCTTCCTGGAGTTTTAAGGAAATAAAATACATATAAATGGTTGTGAGGTACATGTGTGTGTGTACGATATTAACTATAGAAACAAGAGTGGTTTTTTACAAGCTTGATAATAAACTATAATAAATTTGACTGTATAAAATGAAGGGATTGGATACTCGGATATTTTCTTGATCGTGTTTTTTGGACTGCTCTGAAAAGTATAATTGGAACACTTGTTTAATACTTGTGCATATTGACAATCGTGAAAAGTAGGACTTCATATTTTTAAGACTAAACAGACGGAGTTCATTATTATCTGATTGAAAATATTAAAGTGTTTTAAACATACACGATTTAGAATGCCCATAAAAGGCCACAAAATGCAGATCAAGAAAAATCAAAGAATTATACAGAAGCTTCTGCTCCCTTTATTAATTCTCTCAGAATTTATATATATATAGTTTACAAATACTATAATTGATGGTGTGACAATATTAATGGTTGTATTGTAATCAGCTACCAGGCTACTCTTGTTGTTAAGATGTGTAGAAGAAAAACATTCAATTAAAAGAAAACACTGCATAATGTTCATGTTTCTTGGGGTATATTTTTATATGTGAAAATTAGCTGTGTACAAAATGTGATCTAAACCTTTTACGATATTCTACTGTTAAATATAAATGTTATAATACAGAAGTTGAAGCACACCTATGTAAGTGACTGTAGATTTTGTAATATAGATGTTAATTAATTAAGATATTATCAAATTTTTAATAATAGATAAATAAAGCTTTGTACCGTAGTCTTAATTATGTGGTATATATGTTCTCTTCCTATCTTTTTTCATTTGAAATTCCACGATGAATATATTATCGTGAATCGCCATATCCTCATCCAACTAAATTCTGAATTATCATAGATTTTGGTATTTTAGGATTTTAATAAGCAAGTCTTAATGATTTTGATGTATTTAATCGGATTTTAAAACTTGATTAATATAGGTGATGGTAAAGTGGAGTGTTCAGGCCTTTAAACTAAATTATTAATATTGTGATTATATATAGAACCATATGTAAATGTATTGCCATTAATCCATCGAAAGTCGTACATTTGTGAATTTGAATCTCCTAATTTAAGGCTTAACAGTATTTTCTGAAAATTAATATAATATTAAAATTTTTGTATTTCACTTAATGGTTTATAATGTGTTTTTAATCTGCTCCTAAATCGGATTCTGAAATTTGACTTTTGATATATCATCAGTAAAGTGACTTTAGCTAAAGGAATAAGGGCATGTAACGAACTTTACAATTATCATTTAATTTTAAATCATTCACATTGTAATGTCTCAACCATCTTATTTGTTGTTCTAGTAAAATAATAGTTTAGCATTAGAGCCGGGGGGATCAGGAAAAGCTACAACTTGTCACTCAAATAAAACCCTGCGATTTTTCAAGTTACACACGATTATTGTTATTAAGAGTATATTGCAGCTGAACATTAATCTATGACTTACAAATAATTTTTGCTAAGAAATAATATCGGCCACAAACAGATCTAAGTCATCATTTTATATGTATAATGTTTACTAGTCAGTTAAATGGTTAGTATTCAGATGGTAGTCATTAATAAGGTGTTTAGAGGGTGACAAATAAATGATACACACTATTGGTTGGGTTTGTGTATTCACTATTAATGGGTATTAGAAATAGTCCCACTTTCACACTAGTGGTGACAACTTTTAAAGCTAGTTATACACCTGCTAATTAATGACTACTGTATAATTTCTAATCACTTTCTATACATACTAAACATTCATTTAGAATAAGGATGACTTGTTCAATTTATTGGCAAAATTTTTATCCGTAAAGTGTTAAAAACTTTATTTATTGTCAGGTTTGGTTTTGTATTATGTTTATTTATAAAGATTCTATCAGCATAATTAGTTTGTTTTAAAACTTATTTCATCATGCCTTTGATTTTTTGGAATTAAACAAATTATCTGGCCAAAAATTATTTATGAGCAATAGAAAAGATATTTATTAACTATTCATCATCAATCATTTTAGAATCTCGCCAGTATTAGCTTTGTATATCCCATTTCTTTTATAGCTAATAATATTTCATAAAAAAAAAAATAATTATGATCTATTTCTATGTAAACATCATAATTATGTTATAAGTGCTTAATGACAAGTCCTTATATCAGTTCTACTATCTTTTATGTCAACTTTTTAATTTATTTTACTCAAATAGTTTTTGTAGTTATTTTACCAAATTCAAGGACACTATAATAGTGGACACATTTTTACCTGCATGACTATTTTTTAAAAAATATATTTTAATCTTCTGTATTTGAAGTCTGAGCAAATTTCAAGTTGTAATTTTTGAATCTGTGTTTTATTTGCCAAGACTGAATTATGGTGAGCTTTGTTCTTAACTGTAAATAAAAGCATTGTATAATGAATATATTGCATTTGTTATATTTAATCAGTCTCTATGCAAGGAAAGACAACTCTGCTTAAGAGAAAGATATTTGGAGGCAGACCACCATTAATTTCCTCAGTGACTTGAATTTTAATAATTCTGTCCCTTTACCCTTTTTTAACATTTCCACAAATTTTCGTTGGACTGAAAGTTTTTCACTACAGACAGAGACACAAATGGTCATGTCTTTGCACCAAAATTTGTATGAGGTTGACCATCGAAATTTTGAGGTACACAAACTTAATAAGCATACTAAAAACATGTAACTATTTACCCTACATATCACTGTAACCAACAAAAATTGGCATGCAAAAAGGGAGAAAGGAGACAGGGAGATAGTGAAATTTAATGGTGGTCTCCCTCCATCTAATGTGTGTGTGTGTGTTACCAGATTATTCATAGGTAAAACTGAGACATTTGTTATTATGATCAGGCAAAAGAAAAGGATCAATTGAGCCCCTAGGCAAAAGCAAAGTTGCCCCTAAAGGCTCAAATTTACTAGGCATAATGTTTACATCAGGGGTAGTGGCTGTAAATAACTATCTTTTATCAATGAGTAAATAATGCCAATATCAAAGTTAGTCAAGGCATTGATGTAGTAAAACTATACATCACTCTCATTCAATTAGAATCCAGGTTATTGTTTTCCAAGGCATTGACAATTCAAATTGCACAAGCAGAAAATGCTCATCATCCAACTAAGTCAAGATATTCACTTGAAAACATCTACACCAAGTCTGAACATTCTAGAAGCCAAGTTATTGTACTGACCAATCAAACTGAAAATCTCTACTTAGCCTAAGGCTTCAATTATTGAGACATATGATGACTGTCTACTGACTCCAGAGAGAGAGAAATGGGGTTCAAGATCCACTCGACAAAAACTAGGTCATTTTGGGACTAACATATGGTTCAATTTTATTTCACTAATTCGCTTGCGCGCTTTAGCAGTGAAAGGAAACTGGAGGAACCGGTGAAAACCCACGAGGTTGGACAGGCGACCCTACTCCTTGTCACGTCCAACCGGGGAATCGAAACCACGTCAGTTGACTCAATGACAGATCTTATGATACAGTGCACACATGCTAACCATTTGGCCCCCCCGCCCCGACTATGTTAATAGAGTGACCATCTGAATAAACAATGATATATCAATAAAGAGAACAATTTATCATAATCTACAACATTTTATTTTTTGAAACAGAATACATAGAAGTGTTAATTTCATCAATGATAATATAAGGGTTGTGAAATAACATAACACTTACACAAATTATATACATAAAACACATTATACAAATTATCTTATCTTACATCTCTATTATAATTACATATTTATACATCTTAATAATATCTGAGCATTTCTAATATCATTAGTTTAAAAATAAATCCATTACTTTCCAGACAGAATGAACAATTTTTATTGTGTCAATTAAAAGAACCCCGCCTCATTAATTCTGGTGAAATGTGAGAACCTTTGGTTTGATTATTTTTGAGTAGTAATTTACAGTATGGTTTCAGTTCCTCCATTTCAAATATTACGCCCATAAAAAGAATCATAAACGATGCTAAAATTAGTAAAAAAAAAATGACTTCCGCTTACCCTGTTGAAATTTAGTTCAAATGCAAGCAGTTTGTCCACCACTAATATATAACATATCGTATATCAACCTAATCCAATTCTTTAATTTTTACCTAAATTGATACAATCCTGTGCCTGCTACACAATGACCAATTTATTTTTCTACTGGTAAACTATTTTATTTAGATACCGTCCATGTAAAACAGAATATTAAAATAAACATATACAGTGTTGAATCACAGAAATCAGTGGTTACAGCTTGTAGGGTTACTGTCTATAATCTGTTTTTAAATCCCTAAGTAAGCACTGTATACATGACTAGAATGGATTTTTAAAGCGCCACAGTTACCACTCATCAGTGGAATGACCTGCAGAGTTGAGTGGCACTGGAAAAAACCCAAGCCCTATTTCAACTAATTGTTTTAATGATGCAGTATAACACAATACCCCCCCCCCCCCCCCTCAATTCAACCAACCTATATTTATAATGCGCATTTTTTTTGTGGAGCTTAATATCAGGTAACCATGTCTACATCAAATGACAATTATAGCCGACTGTTTTCCTTTCTTTTGCTGACTAATCAAAGACAAGGAAGGTAATTGACAACTGACAATCATAAAATCATGACAAATTTATATCATGTCATGTTTTCGATTAATAAACAAATAAACCAATTAAGGTATATGGTACTCCAGAGAAAATCCCAGTTAAAATGATGAACATGGGTTACTTATCCTATATGTTTAATAAAAAGTTAATTTAGTTGCCAGGTTAGTCAGTTTTAAATATGACCCCCCCCCCCCCTCCCAAAGAAACTTTCATAATTAATATCGAAGTTTAATAACAAATCAGAGGATAAGTTTATATACCTCAAATAAAAACAAACATGGGGGTCTTGCTGCTAACCACGTAAATAACACATTAACAGCCTTTTAAAAGTCATTTAATCCTTTTTTACGGTTTTGGTGCAAAGGGCAGTAACTCTGTGAATGATAAAATATCCCACAAGGTTTGACGACAATAAAAATTTTAAGGACATATCTAAATACATTACAATGTAATTTACATTGTATATCTTTAGTATTTCTTTACAGACAATATAATAAATTGTATATCATCATATACCTTAAAGTATATTGTGTATTTTCATTTTATCTACATTCAATACAATGTATATCATATACCTTACAGTATATTATGTATCTTTAGTTTATCTGCATCATTGCCTTACACTATACTCTATATCTTTAGTTTATCTTCATATACATTAAAATACATTACATTGTATATTTTTAGTTTATTCCTGTATGCAATACAATGTGCCGTATATCTTTAATACAGTACATTATGTATCTCTAGTTTATCTTCATATAAAATATATTGTATATCTTCATATACATTTCTAATGTGTATATTTAGTTATCTTTATACACATTACAATTCATTTTATATTTTCATTCATATGTACATTCTGGTACATTGTATATCTGTATATCTTCATATAAATTATAGTACAGTGTATATCATCAGTTTATGGATACATCTTATTTTAATTTTCTGAACAATCAGAGTATTAACCACCTGCCCCAACAAAAAATTACTTAATAAATAAAAAACTAAACAAGCTTCTCAGCATACAAACCGAGAAAATTTTATCCTCTTGCTCATCCCATTTCTAAATTGTATCGCGACCAGCGATAGCTACTCATTACAATAAATAGAATTGCTCATAATAAGATCTCAACAATAACAAAATACAAAAGCTTAACTGTAAATCCAGATTTACAGGAAACAACTGTTTATCATACTATGGTACCGTAAAATTTGGGAGAGACTTTGAACTTTAAAATATTGCACTGTACCATTTTACCTCCCACTCCGGCCACTCCCTTTAAAACATTATGTATTAAGACGAAAACATAACTGATAGGCATATCAGACACAAGTTGGTGGGAAGAAGGGGACTGCTGCTCTCCTAAATCTGTACAAAGTGATCTCCTGCCCAAGTATTTTCGGACAATAATCAGTGATTTTTCGAAAAAAAAAAGAGCAATATTTGACAAATATTCATAAATATGTAGAGGCCGAATGTTTACAATTGATTCTTGTACAAATTCATTATCTTTAAATTAAATTGATTCTTTTACAAATTCATATAAATATTTAATAAAAATACCAACATTTTAAATTTAAATCGAGTCTTGTACAAATATTTAATCAAATTTGCATCTCAAATTCAAATTGAGTCTTGTACAAATTCAATTGTATATTTAATAAAAATAATATATTAAATTTAAAAATTGATTCTTGTACAAATTCATTTAAATCTTTTAATAAAATTAAGAATATCTTAAATATAAATCGATTCTTGAATAAATTAATTTAACCATGTAATAAAAATATCAAATTTAACACTGCAACCAACTGAAGTACACAAAATCGACCCAAATTCACATACCTAAGTCCAGCCAGGAGTGTTTAATCATTTACATACATGTCCATTATGTTGTAACAAGTAATAATGGTTCACTGTTAGGACACTCCAATTCAATCACCTGTTCAAATGGTTTGGCCTCAGTAAGGGCAATTTAAATATTTATAATTACAGAGGTGTTTTGTACAATTGTAATACATGGCAATAATTCAAGATTCTATGTTGAAAGTGAGACTAGATATAAACAAAATAGAAAGTTGAAGTAAAATCAAATTAAAAGGTCTCTTGGACCAATAACAAATGTCATGGTAGGTTCATCCAGAAAATCAAGATGTACAAATTCCTGAAAATCCATCCGAATTGATACATAAATTAATCCAAGTGTAGGGACACTAGATTTGAGTGGATGAAATAAATACATCCATGCTCGTCTATGGTTTATTCTCAACTGTAATTCTGGGATGTTCGAATTTGCATCCAGTCACAGTTCTGTCAGATGCAGTGTGAGGAGAATCGTGACATGATCAAACTCAGCGTACTGCATGTTTGCACTGAATTATTTTGTTGGCATATGTTGGCATATGCTTTACTGAAACCAATTCTCATGTTTAATTGTCAGTGATCATGGAATTGAGAGTCATTCATTCCATAATGTACAATCATGTATCAACAATATGACAAGTGTAGCAAGGATGAATGAACTATGTGTAATGCTGATAACCAATGTTTCAGGAATAAGACTATTGACATCTTATAACACACAAAAAACCAAGATTCGAATCAGAAGATATAATATCAATTAAGACACCATAATACACGTCTATCACCATGACGTATATAAATATACCTTTAACCATGGCAATAAACAAACCTACATTTCAAATATCAAATATACAGTAGACGTGTTTTAATCGTGTTCAAAATGAAATCATTTGAACATACCTCATTGATAAATAAAAGATCTAAGTTCTCAATGTACTTAAAATCTTCAGCAATCTCATATCAGCTTCACCCTACTCCCAACACACCCACAGCTCACCACAAAACCTCAAACTCAAGTTATAACTAATTATCTTTCTTAAAGAGTTCAGGGTGATAACATAACATACACTCTTACTTCCGATGATATTCAACAGCATCTTGATGTGGTTATTTTAGTATTTTATATAGAAGATGTTAATATCTATCTATATATAATAGTGTGGTGTGTATAATATATACTATTGATGTTCCATATGATATTCTTACTAATTTTTTTTTCTTGTACCACAGATCTCATCCTGTAATATAACAACAATAAAGTTAAAAGCACAGGTATCTTATAACTTAGCTACAAAGACTTACCCCATTGACCCCAGTTTCAAATAAGTTTGACAAAGAACAAATGGATATCATTTTAAACTATAACACATAAATCAGTAATTGTTCTTCCATAAGTATGTGTTATAGTTTATTGCTCTATCCAGTTACTAAATGCCTCTAAAAGATCAAAATGGATATTATTGTTTTAAGAAAAGGTGCAATATCTTTTGAACAATTACAGCCAAAGTGATTCATTATGGCTGTGCCAGCACCTTCTAATAGCCCCATATCCCATATAAACTACCTGCCCATGAAACTGTAGACAGGTAGTCGTATCGTTGCCACTAATAGCTTAAAGGGGAAATCCCAGATATCAAAGGAAACAATAAATATATGTTTCTATGTGACCATATAAATTTCAAATGAAATTATTGCGCCGTTTAGAGTTACTAGTCATTTAATTCTCTAATCATATAAATAACTTAGTAACTGCGACAATCATTTCAAACACATGAATCATCATTGGTCTGCAGTAATTTATACAGACAAACAGATTTTGGTGAAGTTTTGTGTGCTATATAATTGCCACTGAAAGATAATCTATTTTCTGACGAACAATCTTAGATATCATTCCATCCAGGTATGGTTGAACAATTAAATAAACAAGACCATAACAATGATAGATAAAGATTTCTTGCTAACAATAAGAAATTACTGATAGAATATCCGTGTGAGTAGGTCTATAAAGTGTGTAATATTAGATAGTCAATAGATACTAACCATATATAATATTTAATGTAGAAATATGTTATCAGGATGTAATACCATGTGTACTCTTTAACTTTTCAGTTCTTTGTAATGTTTCAGCATACCATGCTGCGACATTTACATGCTGTTTAGTGTATCTTTTGATAAACTGGTGATCCTTCAAATAAAAACATAAATAACATAACTAAACACTTCAACATTATGTAAATCCCTCTCAACCAGGGGTGGGCGGTTGGCCGAATCATCTAATGGTGGCCGAATCATCTAATGGTGCACTTTAGATCATAAGGTCTGTCAATGAGTCAAGTGGGGTGGTTTCCATTCCCAACTTGCATGTGACAAGGACTAGGATCGTCTGTCAAACATTTGTTTTTTCACCGGGTCCTTCCAGTTTCCTCCCACTGCTAAAGATCCCAATGTGCAAGCAAAATATTGAACCATACATTAGTCCCAATATGACCTAGTTTGTGCCGAGTGGGTTTTAAACTCCAGTTTTCTCCCTCTCTCCTCACAATGCCACAATTCATTCTGAAATTTTTTGAAGTGAAAATCTTTCTTTCTTTCTAAATAAGTGCACTCTTTTCTGAACACTTTTGTAAGTGGGCAGATAGTTATAACATTGAATATAGTACATGTATTATCTAAAAACCTCTTCTTTTATTTTCAAACAAAACACCACAAACACAACAACTTACCAGTAATTTTTTGTATTTAGGTCTTTTTTTGTAATCTTTTGTCAAACTGAAAAAAAAAAATAATTCAATCATACTATATGTAAATTGATTCGTGAAATATCTGATTCATCAGAAGCACATACAAATAGTAAATACGAATAGAAATTCTTTTTGTACCCAATATTAACAAGAGTACTATTAATCCTTTTTATGATAAAAGAATTTCAGATTGGGAGATATGGATTGAGTAAATTTCATACACATGTCATATGTATATTGTACCATATAATAATAACTGTAGAATCAATTAGTTTACTGTACTTATAAAACTAAACACAATAAATGGCAATTTTCAAAGAAATCTTTTGATCATTAAGTCAAACAAGCAGCCTTAATCATAATCTTGAAATTCCAGCAAAATCTTGAAAATAACATCCTTTAATATTCCAATTAGTGAACCTGGACCTTGATATTGCACAGTTTATGGATGAAGGGAGATAACTATTGTTTTACCAAGAAAACCTGTATGTAACCAAAAGTTCCATCACTTTCTACATGCTCCTTAATTCTAGATACATACATACCCATTAAATTGTTATGATTTTCAAGAAAAGAAAGACTGGATATAAGGCCGATTATCAGTTGATCACGCATAGAAATATTCATGAGGACTGAATCAATAAAACATACACACACACAGGGGTGACGGCATATGTCCACATTCATAATGCTCCATATCAATCTCTGTTTCTGTCAGTTTTACCAATACAGTTATCCTTATATGACTTAAATTTTTGGCCAATTATCAGTTGATCATGTACAGAATATGAGGTAGATAGATTGTGGTTGTAGTACTTGAAATTAAATCTATATAATACAGATCATGTTAATATTAATACTGAACTTTTAAAACCTACCATTCTGTCACAAAAGATTGGAACTCAAAAGAAAAGTCATCTGCAGCTGGTAATAAAGGAGGATCTTCTTCTAAGACTTTTGTTAAAACTTCAAAATCAGTTTTACAGTTTCTATATGGAAATTCACCAGTAGCCAGTTCAACCTAGTTTTGTATAATATAAAGTTTAACATTAAAATATCAACAACTTTGTCCTTCCATTTATATAACCATCTTCTTTTCCTGTTTAGCACACAGGGCTTATTCTAGGTCTATTCTAATACTTAAAACAAGTTCTCAAATTAAGGAAAGTTGGGACAATAAATATATATGGAAATTTTGGGGGACCCAATTTTCTAGTCATCACACACCAGTGACACCACTTGGTTTCCGAATGACCCCATCATCAAGTCCAATTTCTTAAAATAAAATAAGATAATGAAGGAAGATTTATTGCACTTCCAGATTGATTTTAAGACAATTATTAACTATGACACATCCTAAATTTGACCTGTGATACTGGGAGACAATGAACTTCTCAAAAAGCATCTGAAATATATGCTATCTACATTTTCTTTAAACACCTGAATGTGAAAGATGTCACTTCTTATATCTTTTATTAACCCATTGTACCTGATAGCGACTATCTCGCATCCTCTCATTAGCCGATAGCGAATAACAGTGCTGGCTAATCCATTGTCGGCATCGACATTAGCAATCTACAGCTTCAGATCTGTTTTCGATTGTATTTATTTCTTAATAAAAATAAATCATCTAATGAAAAGGGTTGCTGTATTTACCAATTATCGAATAAAAACAAACTGTTTCAACTAAGTAACTCTCAGATTTTACGTAATAGGTCAGACATGAAAATTCGCATGGTGTCAATGCCTTTGTCATTATTCCAACGTTATCAATACGTAACTTACAGCTAATAATTCTGTGGAGAGTGATACAGAATCAGAATGTTTATAATTTACTGCCTGTCATATAGTGGAATATGATAATTTCGAAGAAATGAACTATTTATTTTTATTTTTGACATTATGAAGCTAAAGAAGCAAACAAGATGACAATACCCACGAAATATCCGAAAGTAGAAATGTCGGTAGTGATGAATAATTACTTTGAACACTTTTATTTTTTTTTTTAAAATCTCTTAGGATATTTGTTTACATCATTTTACCATTATGACAGAAAAGTCATACTTTTAGAGAAACAGACTATTCAATATAATTTCTAGTAATATAATTGCTACTTTATTCAATTTTATATCATTGGGAAGTACAGGACAATTTGTACATTTTTGTAAGAAAGTATTTTTTTGTATAAAAAATAGGTTTTTTTTTTTTTTGTAGGTATTGACAATTATAAAGATTGGATAAGGATTAATAAAAAAATCCCCTAATTATGGTAGGGAGGGAAGACCAGTTGGATTAATTAACTGTTAATTGGCCCCATGGTACAATGGGTTAAAATAAAAATAAAATAAAGAACAAAGCCTTACTAAAGAGATACCAAGACTCCAAACATCAGCTCTTATATCATAATCTGGCTTAGTAGGATCTGGTGGATCTATTCTTTCAGGCTGTAAAATAATATATCATATGTTAACATAGATTTCACTAATTGATTGTCTAGGATTCATAATGACTGGGACACATGCTGAAACATATCTGTGCATGTTGAAGAGAAGATACTTTATAAAATAATCTAGGACTGTTTATCTAGTGATGATAAATGAAGAAACATAAATTAATCATTTATTAGGATGTTTTTATTATCGTGAGGCATCCTAATTACAGTTTTCTTTTTGATTTGTATCAATTTCATGCTTTTTAACTACAGAGAGAGAGAGAGAGAGAAATGGGGTTTAACGTCCACTCGAAACAAACTAGGTCATTTCGGGAGGGGTCTTTAGCAGTGGGAGGAAACCGGAGGACTCAGAGAAAACCAACGAAGTTGGAGAGGCAACCCTACTTCTGTCACATACAACTGGGCAATTGAAACCATGCCAGTTGACTCAATGACAGACCTTATGATACAGTGCACACGTGCTAACCATTTGGTCACCCAACCTTGCTTTTTTAACTACAGATTGGTGAATGTTCAAAATAACATTTATAATCATGTCTAGGCGGTGGGGTATGAGAAAAATAGTTCTTCCAGACATTATTTGTATACTTACAGCCATATATGCTGCACAACCCGCACTTCTAGTTTTTGCTTTAGAATCGACTAGACGACCACTGATACCAAAATCACAGAGTTTGACTGTACCTTTCTCATCTAACAGGATGTTGGAAGGTTTTACATCTGTAAATATAAAAACATATATCGTTATCAGTCAATGGAAGAGATGTCGCCATCTGGTAGCAAATTGTATAAGCTTTCTGTTGAACAATCAATTTCAGATAAAAACGATCGGAGTCACATCGAACCAAGACCCTTCTGAAATGGCCTACCGGACAAATACAAGTCCATCGTATTTAAATGTGACAAAAATGTGACTTAGATCGTTCTTCCCCTTGACTTCCCCTTTAATTCAATCGATAAGCAGCAGAATCCAACCAAAAGACAGAAGATATAACTTCCGATATCTAACAACACAAATACAGTAGAATCTGCATTAAGCAGTGGCCTCTTAATAAAATCTTGTTGCTTTTTGTGCTGACATAAATTAAATATTACGCTTGGATGCATTGGAAGCGGTATATTTGACCATCGCTGAATCTTGCGCCGAACGAAAATTCTTTATTCAAATCTCGGACATAACTTAACGGGGGGTGGTCTCTTAATAAAATCTTGGTGCTTTTTGTACTGACATAAATTAAATATTACGCTTGAATGCATTGGAAGCGGTAAATTTACAGGGGGTGTAACTCTGTATGTAATATTATAGGAGGCGCTAAAACGTCTGTTTAACAATAAAGTGGCAATGGAAAAGAGATACTAGATGATCGTGATAAAACTTGGTACTTTTATTTTATTTAATCAGTATCAAATAATGTGTCGTTACGCGTGAAAACAATGATCAGGTTAGTTGTTTTAATAAAACAAAAGATTAATTAACAGATAATCCTGGGTTGATTGTTATTTTTACATTTCTTTTTACCTGATCAGTGGGGGCCCAGTTAATAAACTACTACCCACGGGATTAGCGGGGGTGTTACAAAGAACGACAAGATGGTATCATTCAACAATGGCCGTTGAATGGGCGATATTTTGTTGAATTTATTAGTACAATAGTGACCGTTGGCCACGTTAGAGGAGTGACCGTTGAATAAAGAGATGAAACAACAGAATTTCTACAGGGGGGATTTACCGTGACCGCTTACAAGGAGATGTCGCTGAATAGGAGTGGCTGCTCATACTTATTCTACTGTATAGGTGTTTGATCAAACCTCTTCCAGTATGTTGAAAGAGTCTATATGTTTTGTGAAGAGGCAAATTGAACCAGCTAAGTCTTTCAACGGCCTATTTAGTTATTAACTTTCAAGACTGTGCCGAATCAACCCTTTACTAAATGGGTGAAAGAATCCCTAGCATCAGATCACATTGATAAAGTTGTGGATGAAAAGAAAAAATCTTCTAAAAATAATAATAGACAGATATTAATTCCCTATGCCTAACTATCATATCATAAATAAATAAATAAAGATTTTACCTCGATGTATAACACCATGTGATTCTTTTAAATAATTCAGAGCATTCACAACCTAAAAAAATAAATAGTACTGGAGTAAATAAATAACCCAGAGAATATAAAACATAACAAAATATATAACACTGGTATCAATGAATAATTTGTTCAGAGCATTTACAACCTAATATAATAAATAATTCAGAGCATTTACAACCTAACATAATAAATAATACTGGTAATAATAAATAATTCAGGACATTTACAACCTAACAAAATAAATAATGATACAGGTATTAATAAATAATCCAGAGCAAAATAAATAATACTGGGGTGATATTCACGTAGACTATATTTTAAGAAGGAAGGTGAATGTTCATACTCCTTGCATTGTTTAAACACTGATGAACTGGTGATTCCTCTCCCAATTTATGAGTGTTTAACTGTCGGGTTAACAACCATTCCATTATAGTGTAACAAAAAAAATCGCTATTAAGCAGAGGTCTAAATATGTAATCATAAAAGTGTATAATAAAAGCGGAGCTACATTACGTCACAACCAGTGAAATTCATCATGAAAGGTTAACCAAACACTAGCAGAATATTGCTTACAAACGAATCTAAACCAGGCATGTAAATTTCAAAATGTTCTACACATTGAGCAAGGGCAATAACTTATGTAATTATTGGAAATTATTGAAATAAGATAAGATTTTTTGTTTTAATAATCTAATCAATGCATATAAATTTAACTCTTGTACGGATACAAGGGGTATTTCAGGACCCCACGACCATATTACTATTATTAACATTTTGGGGAGAAGTAGTTCATAATTGTCTGATGGGAATTTTATACATTGACAGCTACTTAACGTTGAGTATAATACTACAATTAGAACGTAAGTGAGAGAGAATGGGGTTTAACATCCACTCAACACAAACTAGGTCATTTTGGGACTAACATATGGTTTAATTTTATTTACATAATTCGCTTGCGCGTAGGGGTCTTTAGCAGTGGGAGGAACCGGAGGACCTGGAGAAAACCCACGAGGCTGGACAGGCGACCCTACTCCTTGCCACGTACAACCGGCGATTCGAAACCACGCCAGTCGACTCAATGACAGACTTTATGATACAGCGCGCACGCTAACCATTCAGCCATCCAACCCCCCACGTAAGTGAGATAATGGAATCATTCACCATTTGACAACAAGGGGTCTTAATTAATGGACCCTGCATTTAAACAAATATCAAATCAACTGGTTAACAGTGTCTAGCTGTGTTTGGTGCAGGTTCTGCACTTGGACTCTTTCTTACTGATCATATTATGTTATAATTCTAGTATGCTAGATCTGAAATCAAATCTAGGAACTCTACCAATGTCGATTAAAGACGACACTAAAATGGAAATGGCATAAAGAGATTTGCGGATTTTGATCGTGATTTCAAAAATACTTTATAATTCATAGCATACAAATTACTGAAATAACCTAAAATATTTTTCTTCATTTGATTATTCTTCAAGCTTAATAAAATTGTACATACAAAAACCTCTCTATGCTTGGGGTCTTAGATCATCCATTGTTTCTGAAAACGTTTTTTGTTTGCACAATGATTCAAGCAGATTAGATGGAAAAAATAGTTAACCAAACGATCTCAATGACTGATTTTCTCTTCATAGAGATAAATACCTCAATCAATGTTCTCCTACATCTCGTTATATTTACACTAGCCCAATGACCTAGAACGCGTATGTTAGACTTCCCCACTACCCAGACCATCCCAATTTGTCTAAGATTGTTCCTTTAAAATGTAATATTTTGTAATGGCTGTTGAGTGTTAATCTTATTGAGTTGGATACAATTACAACAAAGAAGGTTAATTTTAAACAAAAGTTATCAACAGATAAGTCTATGCATAATGTAGACTGAATAAAACTATAAATCAAGGTGGTGTTTTATCAATAACAATGGATATTGATATCAGTATTATTGCCAATGAAACACCATATGGGTTTATAGCTTAAATAAAGCTCCTGGACTATGTATGGGTTTCAAAGACTTCAGTTTAGGTCTTTCATTTTGTAACTAAAATAGGTAAGGTACTCTGTCAAACAGCGACACCGTCAAACATGTCCATTATTACAATGGCAATAAATAGTTTAAAATATTATACCTACCGCTATAGCTGTTTTACCAAGAATGTTTTCTGGTATTGGTTGACCAGATGATTTGAGTAATTTATCAAAACAAGTAGCCATTATCTCCATACAGATCCATACCTCACTCTACAATCATAAATACAAACTAACAATCAAGAAATATCTCATTGACAATATAAATAAAATTAGATTGAATCCAAAATATTTTCTATCACCACCATTTTCAGTAAGATAGTAATTTTATCAATCCATGAATATATTGCTAAACCAAACAGAGTCGCTTTTCTCCAAAATACACTACCAAGATGAAGCTCTGTATACCAATATAGATAATTTGTTTAGTAAAACAGGTCACAACGCAGAGTATGCTTATTCCATCATAGATTTTATTGTGTTTTAATGAGGTTAGTGTTTAAATAAATGGTTCTGAATGTGTTTTAATGAAGTTAGTGTTTAAATAAATTGTTGTAAGGCTTTTAGTGTTTAAACAAATAGATTTGTGTTGTACAGTAGTTAGTGTTTAAATAAATAGATTTGTGTTGTACAGTGGTTAGTGTTTAAACATGCATTATGCAAGAGCAAAATCTGCTTATTACAAGTCTTTCTTTAGGCCTGAAATGTTATTTAAATTATCAATTAGACATTAATTAACTTATCCAGACCATAATAAACTCTCGATGTCAAGGCTAGCCTTCGATGTAGGCTGGATTAGATTCCTATATGCCGCTAACGGCCAAAGATAATTAAATCAGAAAAAGTGGAGAATCGAGACTATGCTGTTTATATTAATGATTTTAGTAATTATAACCGAGACTATGCAAAAATTTCACCCGCTTCTTTCTTGGCTCAAAGTGGATCAATTTGACTGAAATTTTCAGCAAATTACCTTTACACTATCTAGTTTTTAACTATTATAGCGAGAACTGCCATCTCTTTATCTTATCTCCCATAATGTATCTTTAAATAAATGGATTATATTGTGTTTTAATGAGGTTAGTGTTTAAATAAATGGATTTTACAGTGTTTTAATGAGGTTAGTGTTTAAATAAATGGATTTTACAGTGTTGTAATGAAGTTAGTATTTAAATTTCATACTTACATTTGTAATAAATGTTCCTATACACTGAACTATGTATGGACAATCATGAGATTTTAACACAACATCCAAATCCATAATGATTCGCTTATTTTCTTCTCTATTACCTGATCGACGCATTTGCTAAAATTAACAAAGATAGGTTGTCAGGCAACAAAACATAAGCCCACACCAGCAAAGTTGTTTGAGCAGTCAACAAGGGGTGTTGCATATTTTTTCTTATGTTGGCCAAGGTCCATAACTCCCACAGTAATTATTGGAAATTGTTCAAAAATAATAGGCTTCTTCATCTATGATTAAAATTAAAAACACTGTATAAATTTAAAGTCAATTGGATATTAACTTTAGCCTACAAAACATTCACAATATATTTCAAACCAACGGACTGGCGGACAAGGGCGATGGTAGATGTGTAACAAAGAATCATAAAAAGTCTTTTGTGGTTTTAAAGGAGTTTAATTAATGTCCGTAAAAAATAGCTTACTTTCAGTAGACCTGAACGTTGATTTCTGATTATAAAGCAAATACAAGACTTCTCACTCACACTCAAAACAATTTACACTTAAACGGAAAATGTCTGAATGGTGTATACATGCAAATAGAGGGGCAGTTTGCTAAGTAGAAAGGACAATCTTTTAACAAAAACTAGTTCAGCCATGAATATTCATTTGCATGTATACCACATCCTAAATACAGAAGCTTTCTACTGTCACACCTTTCAATGATCTTAGTGATGGTGAGATCCATTTGTAGACTAGTTTGATTGGTTGTTTATTTACCTTGACAGCCATGATGTGTTTGTTACACTTGTGTCTCATTTTGTTCACCTGACCACAAGTACCATGTCCAAGTTCACCTAAACTATCTAAATCATTAATATCTGTCTGTACCTTCTACAATAATAAAAATATCACATTTAATCAACATAGGTTGCCAGGCAATGAAACATGCCCTGCAGCAGCTAAGTTGTCTGAGCAGTTATGAATTGAAAGAAGATCAAGGGACAAAATGGCTGCTACTTGTAAGCAAATAGAGAGAGAGAAATGGAGTTTAACGTCCATTTGACACAAACTAGGTCATTTCAGTGTAAACATATGGTTTAATTCTATTTCAATAATTTGCTTGCACGTAGGGGTCTTTAGCAGTGTCAGGAAACCGGAGGACCCGGAGAAAACCCACAAGGTTGGACAGGGGACCCCTGTCCTTGTCACGTACAAGAGGGGATTCGAAACTACATCACTTGAGTCAACAATGACAGACCTTCTAATTCAATGCGCATGCGTTTAACCATTCGGCTAGCCACCCCCCCTGAAGTTTTCATAACAAAGATCTAACATATATTCAGCCGAGTTATGTACCCCAGACTTTTGTGAATGAACAACCGCTTCACATCAAGAGTTTTAATAAAAATAAAATATAATAAAAAAAAGAGATTAAGCATGTCTATAATGGAAATTTATTTTCTTGTGGATTTTCAAGGTGTTGTGTTCACATCTTCTATATCAACAGCCAATGGACATAGTCACGTGTCTCATTTGTGGCATCCTCTTTTAACCCTTTCATTGCGTCTACCCGGTAGTACCGGGTATTATAAAATGTTGTTAAAATGCGCGTACCCGGTATTACCGGGTACTCTGTATGGCCGTCGCTAGAATTAGCACCGTAGCTGCAAGTGCCATCTATTGTATTTCCTATACACTAGAACATATTTCCATGTGTTTCAAAGCGGCAAACCGTAAAATGGCGGAGTGCATAGTGACAACGTAGACGATGCAATCTCGGCGAAGTCATGAATGACATCTTCGCTTACCAATACAGTGTAGACAATTTCGAAGCGGGTACTGATACACATAATTAGTTTCCAGTTAGTTGATAATAATAGTAGTCAGGACAGTGTTTGGTAGTATGATTTGCGTGATTTGTTGTGCGACCTTCCGCTTATGGATATGTCTCCCGTGCATGATGAACAAGCCCAACGTGAACATGACAGCCCTATGTATACATGTATGTCTTCAGCAGATTCTGACGATAATTCTGATGTTGATAATAATGTTGGCCTGCTGATCGTAAAAAACGTAGGCAATTCCTGAGTCCTGAACGTGTAGATCTATTGACTGACTATAGTGATAATGATATGGATAATGATAGTGATAATGATAGTCAAGCACTGTGGGACAATTGTAAATTACCTTTCCATCCAATGTGAGTATTCCTGACTGTTTCATGATTTCATCATATTTCTGATCAATTTCAGAACTAAAATGAAAATATTTCTTACATTAATAATCAATAACGTTTTCATTATGACTACATTAAAAAATATATACTCGCCAGGCATCAATTGGAAAACATATGAAACTCTACCTTTAAGGAGACTCTCTATAATGAAAAAAAACACACAAAACAGCCAGAATTTAAATAAATGAGTTTTTCTGTGACTCTTATGTTTACTGGCAACTGATTCCAAAGGTGACATGCAACTGCATTGAAGATTTTATCACCAAATTGTTTTAGTTTTGCTTTAGGAACAGTAAGTGTGTTTCTATGTGTACACATACAAAACAATGAATGGACAAGCGCTGGCTTGTGGACGTATTACTTGATTTCAGTCTTTACTATAATAACCAAGTCATTGCAAACATAGTTGCCAGTGACAACTAAAATGGCCATCTAATTAAAACTAGATGTTATTTTCAGGGGGCTTTGTAGCCAGAATGTGCCAGGTTTGGGCTGAAAATTTGTCAGAATTAACAAGCCTAGTGCTCACTTGTTCAGGGGTGGTGACTGAGGGGCTGACAAGGAAATTTTATCTAGTCGTTTGGATGATACAAACAACCTAGGCCAACCAATTTACACATTAGCTTGCACAGGTGGCAATGCTGCTATCCAGGCAAAATTCTTCTGCTAGCATTTTACATGACATGACAGCAAAATAACCTGTTGGTCTTAAAATGACCAAAACATCTAACTAATAAGTCATTTTTTGGTCTATGTATTGGATGGGTCACTACATCAACACATCTATGATCTAAAAAAACAAAAGTGAATTATGGATCTAGAAATCTTCTATATGGCAGGTTTTGATTGAATAGTTGATCTGGAGTTCACCAATGACAATCTGCTTAGTTGGTATACCGTAATTTTAGAATGGTAAACTACCAAGAATATAGGCTACCATACGTTTTCATCAGTAATACTAAATGGAAATAACTCAGGCATAAATCAATATGACTAGATCATATTATTCACATCTGGACGTATGAAAAATGATTATTTGAAAATTATTCATTAGGAAAAAAAAATGACCAATAAATACCTATCGTGGTGTGGCCGTGAATAACCTTTAGATGAACCATCAATATCCACCGGTCGACGGGTACGATTACCGCCAGTTTCTAAATTCATCGTTCTTTTTCGACTATTTCCTTCTAATACATTAGGTGTGAAGTCGAGACGTGGGCGACTAGGAGATGGTGCTGAACTTGAACGAGCGGCCTCACTGGGACTTGTTGTAACTAGAAAAAAAAAAAATTATCTAATGTAAAATATTACCTACTGATTGGCACTGGCAAAATAGACATACCTGGTACTACTGGTAGGTAAAAAATAAAAACAATAAAATTTAACGTATGCAGCATTATCTATATGCATATATATTTATAGCAGTGAAGTTGATCTACATAATATCAATCATTTTGCAAACCCAAGTTTTGTGCAATTCTGATAAATGTTTACCTTTTTTGGAATTTGGGAAATAATAAAATGAAGTCATTTTTGAAGACAAATATGCTGGGAACTAAAAGGTAGAGTCAGTCTGACATATCACCAATGATTTTATGAGTTTAGATGAGGTAGATTTACCTAACACTGTGTATAATTTATGGAAGAGGAATGAAGGGAGTAGAAACTCCTTCATAACCCTCATATTATCTCATTTTCTTTTGGAGACTATTTCATCCGTTTTTTTTGACTGGCATTAGTAATGGTATAAGTATAACTGGTATAAATTTACGATCAGAAATGTTTATTATTTTCAAATAACAAAATGTTATTAGACATGTTCTGTCTGGCAATGTTATACATATTAATTGACTAACTCAATACTTTCAAGTAATAGTTTGAGCTTTTATCAAAAAATAGCACCTGTATTTTTTAAACATTTTTTAAAACAATTTTCACATCTAACATTTTAAAAATTAATGATCATTCATTGGTCAATGCTAAGTATGCTACTTTTAAAGTAAAAACAATTTTCCTGAATAAGTTTTAACATATATGAAATGCCATTATATGGTGACCAAAACATAGGGATGAAAAATCCTTCCAAGGAGAACAAGACAGTCAGAGCTTCTACACCCTTCATTTATAGTCAATTTATATTCCCAGTTAGGATAGTAAATGTTAATATTAATACTAATCAGAAAACAAACGAAATGTAATAAATTTTATTGAATAATCATAGTCGCATATTGAATAATCAGTCTCATATTACGGAACTATTCACTTTGAGTTTGTTTTAACAGCATATATATACATGTAGATTAAACATACTTTCCCAGAAATGTATTTAAAGGGTGGTTACTTCCAATAAAGATATGGCAATTTCTGTATATATGGAGAGAGAGAAATGGGGTTTAACGTCCATTTGACACAAACTAGGTCATTTCGGGACTAACATATGGTTTAATTTTATTTACATAATTTGCTTGCGCATAGGGGTCTTTAGCAGTGGGAGGAAACCGGAGGACCCGGAGAAAACCCACGAGGTTGGACAGGCGACCCTACTCCTTGTCACGTACAACCGGGGATTCGAAACCATGCCAGTCGACTCAATGACAGACTTTATGATACAGCGCGCGCTACCATTCAGCCATCCAACCCCCCTGTATATATGGAAAGTATACACACCACAATCTTTTTACAATACTGGATTCCTTGAAAAACACCCACGGATGATGGCACACAGGACAAAAATGAGAGGGTGTCAGCAATTGACAGCCAGGCTATTGGGGGTTTCTGCTCGAGTGACATCAAAGGTTTCACACGTAGATGTCTGACCTCTTTGAGTTAGGGAGTGCTTGATGTATATGTTGGTAAACTTGATGGTGAACGGACTTGGAAAAGTGAGGGACTTAAATTTTCTGAGATAAACACCAGGGAAAAAGATGTGGGCACAGTATAATCTGAGAATTTACATAGGCTTTGGTATTTATGGTAAATGGACAGCGATTAAAGACAACATCACCTTTTATATGCAATGGATTCTCCTCCGCCCGGCACTCATTGCCGGTTAACCAGACCACCAAATCATGGGACACAAACATGACTTCTATTTATAGATTTTTTATACCTTGGGGATTAGTGTGGATGGGCTGAACTAAATTCCGAAAATATCCGAAAAGCACCGTCACCTGTCCAACTTCATGGGTTTTCTCCAGGTCAAATTATTGAAATAAAATTGAATCAAATGTTAGTCCTGAAATGCCCTGGTTTGAGTCAAGTGGATGTTAAACCCCATTTCTCTCTCTGTATTTGCTTACAAGTAGCAGCCACTTTGTCAAACAGTTTTGGTCTGATTTTCAGGAGATCTGAACTTAACCATCATTAGTGTGTAACGGTGATACATGTATATTTAAACAGTTTATTAAATCAGATAAAAATTGTGATTTTTTGTACAAGTTAGGGGCCATAATCCAGAACTATTTGCTTATATGTAGCAGCCAATTTGAACTCAACCTTCACTGAGGTGTAACGGAGATATATTTAAACGGTGTTTAAAATTGAATACAAATTGAGACTACTAGTACTAGAGGGTTCGCAAATGCAACTGCAAAACGTGATTTTTTAAAAAATCAGGGGCCATAATCCAGGAAGTGAAAAATTGTGACTTCTAGAGGGTTCACAACCTTGGTATTACATACTTTTAACTATTTGCATACAAGGACCGGCTATTTTGTCCACTTGTTTCAGTCAGATTTTTATGAAATTCAAACTCAACCATCATTGAGGTGTAACAGTGATGATATATTTAAACGGTTTTTAAAATTGAATCCAAATTGTGACTTCTAGAGGGTTCCACAAGCTAAAAACATGATTTTCCAAACAACCAAGGGCCATAATCCAGGAAGGTACGCTCCAATATGCATGATTATTGAAAGGCACCAAGATCTTTGTGAAATAAACATAAATTTAAAGTTTCATCAAAATCGGATCAAAATTGTGACCTCCAGAGGGTCCACAACCTGGATATGACATACTTTTACACTATGTGTTTGAGGAAATTCGAACTCCCACATTATGGTGTAACGGTTACATATTTAAACGTTTTTTTAAATCGGATAAAAATTGTGACCTCTAGAGGAACCAAAACCTAAAAACTTGATTTTTCGCGCAATCAGCTTTGAGGAATTCCAAAAAACCTTTATGTCTTTTATATATGCACATTTATTCTTTACATCTCATTTAAACAACCAGAAACCTTTCCTAAGCAACATTTTAAGAATCAAAATATTGCGACAAAAAACTGTAAATATTGGTTTTAGACATAATTTTCTGTTTTACCATTTAAAATTTAAACCCCGTGAGATGAAAAGTGGTTTATTACAATACAACTTTTACAACTTCTAAAAATTCCTGTTTAAACAATTTCAGTAATCTGAGAAAGCCGGTTTTACAGTTTCATTGATAATATAATATGAATACAAATATAATAGAAGTTATTCATAACACACTATAAAAGTTTACATAAAATTGGAATATAAGTATTTATTTAGAGATAAACATTATCATAGTTTTATTTAAATAAATTATAATTAATAGCTAACACATAAACATAGATAAAACGAAACCAGGCCCACAGTCAGCATGATTATACTAGCTTAGTATTCAGCACTACGCCGAAGATCAAATTAAATAAAAAGATTACCCAAAAGTACAAAATTTTTAGGCAAAAGATGGAACACTTATGTGTTACAGCTTATTAAATAAGTCTATATATCTATACTTCTATTATAGTTTAATTCTGTCTTTCATTTGTATTAACTAACTGGATTTGTAAACCATTGTACAATTGAGGAAAAAGCTCAAACTGGTATAATTGTGGTAGAGGGAAATGGGGGAAGAGCCATTGACAGATCATCTGCCAATCTCCAATTGTGGATGACCAACATTATCCACATGAAAAGGTGGGCATACAGAAAAATCATGAAAATTATGCTGTGATGTGACTGTCTCTGAGCGGACAACACCTACCGGCAGTTTCTATCCATCCCCATAAAACTGCATGGTAAATATCACTCTTCCCCACCTTTGTTCTCAGGCTGTCTTGGAAACCATACCTTCTATTTTTCACTGTGATTTTTTATTTTTCGCCAAAAGGAATCAGTTCTCACTATATATGACACAGATTTATAATAATTCAACACTGTTCGAGTCTCGTAATGGCTGATCAATTCAAACGTATATTGTGTATGTTTTTAATTGGAGAATTCTACTTGAAAATAGTGTTGAATTATTATAAATGTGTGTCAGCTGTGGAAAGAAATGATTCCTTTGGCGAATAAAGAAGAATCAGGGTGAAAAATAGTTGGTAAGGATTCCAAAATAACCTTAGAACAGAGATGGGGAAGAGCGGTATTTTCATATTGCAGTTATTTAGGGACGGAAAAGAACTATCAGTGGACCGCGTCCTCTCAGAGAAAGTTCCTAAAGGAACTATATACATTATAATATTATCTAAATAGCCATTCATTAGATAAGAACAATATAAAGTGAGAAGGATTAATAATAGACGTCAGCAGAATAATTAATATCAACATAAATTTCATGTATGTAGATAGAAATGCAAATATATTCAAATAAATTTACTATGTCTAGATTAGTTTTCAATAAATCCAAAATATTCATGAACAATTTGAACACACCTACACAAACCGCAGCTTTTGTTTTGACCAATCACAGAAGTATTATCTGATTTGACATCTGATGTCAATCATTTAAAGAAGTTATACCCTTTAAGTTCAATTGTGATGTGTTTGACATAAAATCCAGCTAAGTGACGGTCATACCCTCAGAGAACATAGTACAAGGTAGGTTATAATTGAAGGAATCAAATATTTTCTCTTAATCCAAGCTAGATCTAGACAGGTGGGATAAGAATGCTTCTACTAGCCAAAAGAAATTTAGGGAAGCTACATGACTCCCATTCCCCAAATAGTCCCAATCTTCAGTCAACCTTTTATGCTTTCTCCTGTCTAAGTGGGGGGGGGGGGGCTGTCCTTTCATTTATTATCCAAGCTACACAAATAAGCCATCATTTTGTCATAAATACTAAAAACAATCTGTTTCTTTTCAGAAATAAATAAGAATATCTAATATCAAGAGTAGTCCATTATGTTCCAGTCTGATATAGATCAGAAATATGATGTAAGTAAATCATTTTATAAAAAGGACTTCTAGTGAATCTAGTCAAATAAAAACAAAAAATAAACATCTTTAAAGCTACGTGTAAATTCCATTTCTACTGCAAACCTGAAGCCCTACAACTTGACTGTCATACAATGTCTATGTATGTAGTCAACATTTCTAATAATATATAACTTTATATAAGTTTACATCTCTAGCATAACAATGAAATGTACTGTGTTTTTATGCTTTTTGTTACATCAACAATCCATGTACAAAACAATACATGGTTTTAATTGTCCATTACAGTTATTGCCGGGGGTTATAACTTGTAAATATTAAATGTATATAAATCGTTGTATTCTTAAACTAAATACGAAGTAAATGTATAGTATACATCCAGGTTATTTTCAGGCTTTCATTGATAATCTTTGTCTGAATTCTATTTCAAAAGTAGATGACACTTGATTTTTAATATTCTAGCATTGTATTCTGACAATCTGTTATGCTTACATTCGTAAAGATTTAATTTCCCTCAAGTTTAATGATTTGTATCGGATCTCTATATTTACGGTGTTGTTTTATCATGGAACCATAAATAAAGGTTTACCAGTTTTGTTCTACTTTATGAGTAGTCATATAATCAAACACACAGACCTCTATAATATAGGGGTCCTTCTGAGATAAAGAGTAACAACTTTCGGAAACCAACAATGAATTTCAAAAATGGAAGGAACTTACTTTATTGGTGTTTTTGTTGTTCTTTAGACCTGCAAGTCTTGACACTTTACAAGAAAAATATAACTGATGGAGTTATTTCAGAGTATTGACAATTTAAATAAAGTCGCTTGTCATGTGATGGGCGTTAGTTTATTTTTTTGACCAAATATTTATTTATGTTGTTACTAACTATCCTTAAAGATGGGTTCCAAGAAAAGTATTTATCGGGTAGTTATTTCCAATAAAAGTATGGTAATTTTGGTATATATGGAAAGTAGAGATATCCAATCTTACTAGAAAAATACTGGATTCCCCGAAAAACACTCATGGAGCGTATACAGGACAAAAATGTAAGGGTTTCCCTAATCGACAGCCCGACGATTAGGAATTTCTGCACGTGTAATGTCAAAGGTCACACGCGAACATTGAGTGCCTGATGTACAAATTGATAAACTTTATGAAGAGTTAGACGTACAACACTTTCTGAGATAAAAATGACCGGAAAAGGCGCGGGTAGTGGATATTCCTAGAATTTAATTAGGATTCGATATTTGTAATATACAGTAAGCGATTAAAGACAACATCGTCTTATGTATGCAATGAATTTTCCTCTGACTTCCAAGAGAGGTAAGTCACGTAACGTAACCATGACCTGGTTTGATTGAATTTTTATAGCAGGGCATTCCTTCACAATTACAATGTTTGAGAAGGATTTGAAGCAAAATTATGACAAATTAATTAGTTTGAATATGTTTTTAGTCCATATATACCATTAAATCACCCAGTTTGTACGCGGGAATGTATCTTTAAAGATGGGTTCCCAGAAAAGTATTTATCGGGTGGTTATTTCCAATAAAAGTATGGTAATTTTGGTATATATGGAAAGTAGAGATATCCTCTCAGCTACTAGTTTCAATCTTATTCGGACTCTTCAGGCTTAAATGAGGATGTGCGGTGGCCCTCTATATATAGTGTCAGTGGGCACCGGAGCACATGTGATGTCACAGATGGACTGGAGTCAATCTTTGACACCGGAGTCGATTATTCCGAAAAGTGTGCTAAGAATTTGCATTCATGATTATGCTTATTTGCATTGACTCAAGGCTCCTAACCCTTTTGATCTCCAAGTTTAAAGTTTCCTAAACTATCGAGGGCTTAAAAATAACTCTATTAGGTTATGGGCGTGTATGCACTAATTTTTTATTAGCTTTCGCCGTAGGGGTACCACGGCTAAATTAATTGGGAACTCGTCATTGTTTTTCATATTCGGCCTTGAATCAGGCTAAGAATTATGCTACTATTTCGCATACTTTGAAAAGTGGCTCTAGGAAAAGATTTCTTGCATTCAACAAGGAGCTCACAAGGTTGTTTTTGCGTTTCTCGATTGAAACGTTGTAAAAATGCCCAGTCTTCTTTACTGATGTTTGATTCTGCCAAATCATCGCGATTCGATGTGCGAGAAACTGGCCAGGCCTCTAGTTTGAGACAAAGATCAACTCCTTCACAAAAAGCCTCCCAGTTACTCATGGTTGGAAAAGGTACAGGACAAGGCGATCTGCTATATTTTACCTCCGTTGTTTCAGAGACATTGTCCGCAAATTACCACAGATGTGCTTCATTTTCGCAGGTAGGAATATTAGTGAACGTCCCTATTGTGACGTCACGGGATACCTCTAAGGCTAAATGATGGCAATGTGCCAGGTATTTTGAGCGGAGTTGATGATACGAGTTCCAAAAATCGGGATGCACACGAGAAAAATAGCTAACGGAATTTTAAGAACGTAGTGCAAAGGGGTCAGTGGGGAAAAAGAGTGAACAATAAAGTGGTGGACCCCTCGGGACTACATCTTATCGTTAATGCCATCCGGTGCGAATGTTCTTAAAGTGTGAATCCATTTGAATTGAATTGTAACCCGACGATTAGTGATGTCTGCTCCAGTAACGTCAAAGGTAGCAATTGCCTAATCTCCCAGATTAGCGAGTGCTTGATGTATGTTGATTAACTTGATGGTGCAACAGTTTCTGAGTTAAAAACCATGGAAAAAAACTAGGGCAGTGCATAATCTGAGAATTTATTTGACTTCGATATTTATAATAAGTAGTCAGCGATTAAAGACAACATCGTCTTGTATATGCAATGAATTCTCCTCCAGTTTCGCACCCGTTGCTAGATACCGAGATAGGAAAGTCATGTGACACAAACCTGACCTCTTTTGATCGATTTTTTTATAGCAGGGGTACTCTCTGACAATTACAATGTTTTGAGAAGGATTTGAAGCAAAATTATGACAAATTAATTAGTTTGCATATGTTTTTAGTCCAAATATATCATCAAATCACACAGTTTCTACGTGGGAATGTATCTTTAATAATGAAGCGCAATCTTTAAACCAACATAAATTTCTAATCGTATTCACATGTGAGCACAGTATCAAATTTGAAACCATACTTGAAGCAGGTGGGAGGGGTTGCATACGGTGCTAGGACACCCTTCACTCTTAAATATGGTGTTTGCCCCCTGTTTTACGCATAAAGTTGTGCCTTCATTACGAATAATTTATCGATGACGAATTAATATCTATTCAGGTCCAGATACATGTATGCACCAGAAATCACCATTGACAATTGACACTGCAACTTTTCAAAAAATTAAATTGAGTGGAGGGGGATAGGGACTGGTACCGGTATTTTTATTCCACATAAAACCAACAACAGACAATAAAGCACACAAAGAATAAAATGGATAACAAGTTTATTTGAGTTTGAGGTTTTATAACAACAAAGAAAAAATTCAAATACTAAACATGAATCAAAGGTTCAAAATAAAACATCAATGCTTTACACTTTCAAAACAGTCTACATATAAATCTGGATTAATTGGTCATCGTTGGTCAAAACACAAAATAAGGCCTAAAACAGGAATTCAGGATATGATGCCATTGCTGCCAATGTATTTTTAAGTTCTACAAATAGCCGACCTATTTTTCTTTAAAAGACAGAAATTGGTAAATATATCGCAATGTGTTTTACCTGTTACATATGGACAGACACTGTCTGCATACATTATTTTTCACTTTTACCATAACACAATAAGCACTATACGTCACGCACACGTCCTAGTATTGGACATAATATTACAACTCCAAATTCAGATTTTTTATTACACCTGTAATAAGCTTCAACAATGCAAAATCTCTACAAGTCTTTTCTACGTAAAGTTTTGGTGGATTATCTGCGATAGCGTTTGATAAACGTTGCAAATATTGGACTAACACTAAAGTAGATTCAAGTCTTTAGACCAAAAATATTAAATTTTCAGCCAGTTAAATTTTATTCTATTTTGGTGAAGAAATAAAATTTTATCTTTTAATATCTTTATTCATTATATTTTATGCTTACAGAGTAATATATTTCGAAACAAAACTATAATTCCATAAAAAATCAAAAAATTTAGTGTACACCCATGCAAGAGTTACTATTTAACTCAGAAAGACCCATAGGTAATATTGTCAGTTATGGTACTGTGTTACTAATAATAGTAATAAAAGCATTTAGTTCGTACGTACACAGATTTCGGAGAGAAAGATAGAAATGCTTATCTTGAACCCTTTTGATGCCAGTCAAGTTATGACGACGTAACGATATACTTGCCATATTGGACGTCAACCCTCAGTTCTGATGTCAACTTTGAAGACATGTGGCAAGAAATCCACAAGCGATATATATATATATATTACAGAAATGTTTGTAAATAAATTGAAATTTGTAGCACTATATATGTACTTAAAAACGTCAATAAAACAATCTGTGAGAATACAATTAAAATGATGTCTTCAGAGAGAACATACAAATTTTACAAGATAAACATACCAGACAAGCCAAGCAAACATATTCTTTGTAAGCCAATTAAAGATACGTTCCCAGAAAAGTATTTATTAGGTGGTTATTTCGAAGAAAAGTATGACAATTTTGGTATATATATGGAAAGTAGGAATATCCAATCTTACTAGAAAAATATTGGATAACCTGAAAAACACTCATGGAGCCCATATAGGACAAAATTGTAAGGGTTTCCCTAATCGGCAGTTCGACGATTAGGAATGTCTGCTCGTGTGTTGATAAACTTTATGAAGAGTTAAATGTACAACACTTCCAGAGATAAAAATCACGGAAAAAGACGTGGGCAGTGGATAATCCGAGAATATAATTAGGCTTTTGATATTTATGATAAATGGATAGCGATTAAAGGAGCTAAGTCATTAAAATTTGGGACCTAGAAATTGACGCAAATGGGTCGCAACGCATACAATAATGTAATATGAATGTATATAAATTGATTTACAATCGTTTCTGTTTTTACTGTAATTTTTAATCAGTTAGGTTTGGCGAAATACGCCAGTATTCTCAATCGAATTTTAATCTCTAGTGTCTGGTTATTCTAGTCTACGCCGATATTATTTGTTGGGCATGCTCTCCAGATAAAAATATAGCGTCACCGTTTGACATGACTTGTCCCTTATTACAAATAGCGCTGAAACGCATTATGGTACACGATTCGTGTACCCATTGTAAAATGTTTATTTTGTCTTAAATATTGGATACCAGAAATCCATCTTTTCCCGGTAAGATCACAACATCAATGTTGATTTAAACCGACAAAAAAATCGTGTTTTCAATGTCGACGATTTTGGATGACATTGAGTTAGAGACTTGTAGCTACTTTAAAGATAACATCATCTTGTGTAGCAATGAACTCTCCTCCGACTTCGCATCCATTGCTAGGTATTTCGTCATCGAAACATGGCCTCTTTCAATAGATTTTTTACAGCTGGGGTATTCCCTCACGTAAACAGTGTTTTGAGAGGGATTTGAAGCAAAATTCTGATAGATTAATTAGTTTGAATATGTTTTTAGTCAAAATACATCATCAAATCACCCAGTTTGTATACGGGAATATATCTTTAAAGGTTAGAAATGGTTCCACTACTGATGTCTTCCGTCTTGCTCGAGCCACAGTAGTGGATCGTTCTAAGGCCTTCCTTTCAGCAGGTTTTGTCATGATTTGATGACAAAAGAAGTTATTGGCCTATAACTACATTAATTTCTACTTAAACCGATCTTAAACAGTACTGCACATAACTTAACATATAAACCAGTTCCCATATGATTTGATAAAATCCAACTGCTACGAAAAATACCTGTCGATTTTTAAAATGGCCGCCCAACCAGAATTAGAACATGCATGTGATTTCAATGTTCCACTCTTCACTATTTGTAACATAATTACTTATTTTCATGCAAACTGTGATGATACAATGTATGTGTTGAAAATTTTGCAACTGAACCTATTTTTACTTGCACAAAGATTCGAATAGTTATAGTGTATCGATTGTAGCCGCTGACAAGACAGGGTGTGGCCACAATATTGCAGCTAAGTTAATAAGGGCAAGCCTTGTGACTGGCCTAAATGTCTAAGTTTCCACACATCATGTACATGTAGCATTCTACTTACGAAGTGTATATTTTGCCGTCCGACGGTTCTTTACATTATTTACTATTTAGCCGTCACTTCCGTTCAACATGCGCAGTTTGCGATTCCTGATATATTCCACCATTTTGGAACATTAAAAACAACTCGTCTTTCAAGTTCGGCGCAGAAGCACAATTTTACGGGAAAAACATAAACCACTGACAGTCTAAGTACTTAATTAAAAACCTAAATCCGCAGAAATGCACCCTCGACCAAAATAGAATAATACTCTAAATGCTTTTCTACAATTTACATTTATTATCTTCTTATTTTCTTTTAAAGGAGCTAAGTCTCTAACTCAATATCATCCAAAATCTTCAACATTTAAAACACAAATTATTTGTCAATTTAAAACAACATTGATGCTGTGATCTTACCGGAAAAGGGTGGGCTTCTGATATCCAATATTTAAGACAAAATAAATATTTTACCATTGGTACACAAATCGTGTACCATAATGCGTTTCAGCCCGAGTTCTAGCAAGAGACTAGAGCAACGAGGCTAGACATATTGCACCAAACCAAACGGCTTATGTAGACTGGAATAACCAGACGCTAGGAATTTGCACTCGATTGAGACTGCTGGCTTATTTCACGGAACATAACTGATTTGAAATTAGAGTAAAAACGGAAACGATTGAATGTAAATCAGTTTATATACATTCATATTACGGTATTATATGAGTTGCGACCCACTTGTGTCAATTTCTAGGTCCCAAATATTAGCGATTTAGCTCCTTTAAAAATAATTCTCCAGTTTCTACCTCAGAAATTCAAGTATGGCTATTTGCTTCCTTATAAGAAACGGAGAAAGAAGCAATGTTAGACAAAGGATGAATAGAACTCTCTGGTGGTTTTGGTTTTGGGTTAGGGTTGTATTATGGGTTAAAATCAGACGGTAGAATAGCCCACGAGTTGAAAGAGCCGGCATCATTGCCAAAGCGAAAACTGCCAAGTCCTTGAATCAAACAAGTGCGCATGTCAAACGGAAGTGACGGCTAAATAGTAAATAAAGTAAAGAACCGTACTGGACGGCAAAATATACACAGCCTTCTACTTAATAAAAGTTCTAATAAAAAGTCATTTCGAAAAGTTCAACTACTTGCCATCGAGAGGGTTAGTCTATATTTTGGGCTGATTATTATTATATTTTTTTTTTTTCATTTCGCTTAGAATCTTACCTTTATTTCATTTTTTTTTTTTTTTTTGGCTTAGACCTTAGAGTAGCCAAAGTTAGAGTCAGATTTTAGATTTATTTCACTTCTAATTCTATCTGCTTCATTCGATTTTGGTTTGCTACGTTTCGTAATTCGAAAAAAGTAAGGAAACATGATGCCAAAATGTTTTAGAGACGATGACAGAAAGACACGAGGATCTACAGATATTGAGATACTGAAATAATTAGATATTCAGATTTCAGTGAAAATGAGTGTGATGTGATCAGTCTCACAGAGCTGTCTAAATTAATTGTTTATCTAAGTCAACAATACAAGAATTTACTCACAATTTCGCGGTCTTCTTGGTCCGTGGTTGGGTGTACTCCCTTCTCTACCCCGTCTGTCATTGTCGTGCAATATATTTTCCCTGGCGAGCCGTTTTTGTATGCTTTCTAATCTGTTATGAAAAGATGCAGAAGACATCTTTATTTCCGACATTTTCCGGAGAACAAAATTCTCACGTGACTTTAACGGTTTCGTCCAATGTTGGGACGTGGATCAGCAATCTTTAAAGGTTTCGGCCGGCTAGCTATTTGAAGATATCACCCAAAATAAACCGAACACATCATTAAATATAGAATCATCGTTCATGGTTCCTACCTCAGTCATTCTTCAGCATAATTATATATATATATATATATATATATATATTACACGGTCGATTTTCAGCTCACTGAAAAAGACTGAAGACGAAAAGTTGTTATATTAGCCTGTGAGAGGATATCATTTTTTTTCCCTTTAAAAGAATTGACTGTCACGAGAAAAGAAAAAGAAAAATAGAAAAAATCCATGCATTCTCTTGTTTTTATTCATTTTCTACTTTCACATTTTAAGCGATAATAACAGTTTATTCCCGTAACCCTATAAATACAGCTTATACCTGCTGCTTGTTCCGTAATGCTTGGGCTATTTACTGATCAATACTCAATAGTGTGCTGATATAAATACATGTGCATATCAATATATTGGTTTAAAACCCGAGACAAGCATATATGTAACGGTATATTATTACAAAGTCATGTGAATTATAATTCTACAGGCTACACCACGTAGAATACAAATAGCAATTCTGCGTATGAACGCGATCTTTATTCCTTTGCCATCAGCAACAAAAATATTAGCAAACTTGTAGCCTATCCAGATTGAATTTCAGGCTTGATTTCGCACATTTTAAGTCCTTTTGTAATATTATTTCTCGTGGGCGTGATATTTCAGAGAAATTTTAGTATGCCGGACGGGTAGTAGCGGAAATCAACGTCTGATTATATAAGTAGTGGTCGGTGTTGTAAACGAGGTAGGACACGCTTACTCTTTCCAAAACACACCACATCCCATGTTAGGAGTTCGCATACAGCCAGTATTTGCTTTACTTTTATATATAAATACATTTATCTGGTTTGCATTTGCCGAATACAAGCGAATTTCACATTTTGTTTAATTGTGACCAGACGTAGGCTACACAAAAATCCACATAGAGATAATTTTTTAATGGACTTTTATTATGAGAATTAATATGAATGCAGTATTTGATAAATTAAATCCCCTAATAATTGCCGTTTTAGAGTGCATACCAAATTCCGATTTGTGATCCACGTGCCGGAGACAGAAGTAGTTGTAAAATAATGATATGTAAAATTTATTATAGGGCTACCGGAATAAACTATAATTATCGCTTAAAGTCAGTTATTAAAACTCGTGTTTTGTTTGCGTCAATTCCCATTTCTTCAAATCATCATTGCGCATCTAGAGTAGCAAGGATCTCTGTGTTAAAATTATATTTGGAATGTGTTTAACCAGTTCTATCACATAATATATGTAATATTGGCTGATACCAACGTTGCGTGCCGATTGTTGTGTTCTTCCTATTTAATTTTTTGAACATGTTAGTTAACCCTGACTTTTATTTCAATACAAATACACAAAACATCACAATTTGAATATAGAAACCAATCAGAAACGACTAATACCTTTTTATCGATATATTTGGTATCACCTTGTCGCATTTGGAATGTAATAGTTCCGTAATAAAATGAAATATGTAGTCATTCAATTAGGGACGTAATAATTATAGAGGGAGTTTTAAAGTATGGCTTAAAATCAATATTTATCCATAATATAATATTCAAAATCTAAAAGAGGAATTACAATTTAATATTGGTCCATTTCAATCAACAGTGGTGGTGTTTTACCCAGAAAATATAAGCTTTATAGACAAATGATATATTCCAGTTAAGAATCGCAGCATATAAAACTTAAGTTTATTAACGTATTTCCATGTCTTTGTGTAAACATTCTAATGATTAAATCCCGATTTGGAGGTCTGACTGATTGGTTGTTGTTAAAATTTCTACTTTGAGTTCAATGGTAGTATCGCAGACTAGATTTGGAGATTTGGTATTAGAAAATGATTAGGATTTTGTAAGAAAACTTTTTTCTATAGTTCTGTAACAGATTACTATTTTCAGAGTTGTCCTTTTTTGGAGTTTAACGTATTGACAGTTGTGAAGTCGGACTGCCGAAAATTTCCCCCCAGACAACTAGGGCCCGTGACAGGGGGGAGGGGGAAAGCTTGGACACTTTTCCAGGGGCCCTTAGCCTAGACCGGTCCGGAGGTATGCTGCGTAATGTTTTTAAAAGAAGTGATGGTATAAAATTAATAAAAAAATACACTGTTACTTGATGTTAAAGGGGCTAAATCGCTAATATTTGGAACCTAGAAATTGACATAAATGGGTCGCAACGCATATAATAATGTAATATGAATGTATATAAATTGATTTACATTCAATCTTTTCTGTTTTCACTGTAATTTCTAATCATTTATGTTCGGCGAAATACGCCAGCAGTCTCAATTGAATGACAATCAGTGCCTGGTTATTAATTATATTCAAGTCTACACCGATAGTATTTATTGCACATGCTCTCCAGATAAGAATATGGCGTCACCGTTTGACTTGATATGTGGAATATGCCTAGCCTCGTTTTTCAAGTCCCTTATTACAAATGACGCTGAAACGCATTATGGTACACGAATCGTGTACCAATGGTAAAATGTTTATTTTGTCTTAAATATTGGATATCAGAAGCCAATCTCTTCCCGGTAAGATCACAACATCAATGTTGATTTAAATTGACAAATAATTCGTGTTTTCAATGTTGAAGATTTTGGATGATATTGAGTTAGAGACTTTGCTACTTTAAAGTAGAAAAAGGTGACTTTTCAGAATGTAATTACCTTATAGTGGCGTGGATAATCGGATTCTATTAGTCCACTTTCTTGGGAAAATTGGTGAATTAAACAATATAAGCCACCTGCTCGGGCCTTCGCGCCGTGGGGCCCCGGTCCACTCTCGTTCCGTTTGAGGCTCTTATCACCGTCCGGGCCCGGCAAAAAAGCGGGTCCTATAGCCCAGGCTTGTAAAACACTACAAGGATGGTGGACGGGCCAATTTCGTGCTACGCCGCCATTGATCATGCACGTGGTTATCGATCGCTCAAGGTAGACTGAAAGTATCCGATAATTAAAAACGAAACTGAAAGCGAAACTTTTACTTTCATCTTCGTTTCGTTAGGCGACCTCCAGTTACCCCTGCAGATAACCACCAAAATGACGCTAGAGACCATGTATATTTCAAAGGATATTTCAAGAATCACTTGCGACTGGAGTGCCGGATTAAGCGCTGACCTTGCTATGCATAGAGACAATAATACATTTTCATACCTCTCAATTTAACATCTGTGTTTACATGATGCACAGTGTATACAGTAGTTAAATACCAGTGTTAATAAGGATGGAAAATAATTTTAAACTCACAACTATAACACTATATAGTGTTATTTTTAAATGTTCCACTTTCATTTTTGTCTCAACGCATTCAATTCTTTGGATGAACGGGCTGGCTGACTTAATACCAAACGAAAGTTATCTGAGAAAAATTCTAACTACTTTCGGATCTGCAACAGTTCTTTGTTGTTTTACGTGTTGGCCATGGGTAAAAATATCATTTTAAGCCCGAAAACTAAATCTGCTGTTTCACACTAGGGTTGTAATACATGGTTTTTTAACACCTGGGGGTTAGTTTTAGGGTTATTTTTTTACAAGATAATAACTTTTATCAAGTTATTATTATCTAACATGTTTTTATCTAGTTAGAAATAATATTCCACAAATATCCTTAAGCCTGATTATTTTTTTTTATGTAAATTTGTTTTCTTAATTAGAGAACTTGATATATAAAATATAAGCAAACTGATGGGGGCCTGAGGTTGAGTTAGCACAGCGTTTAATTGATACACTAGCTAACTGGTGTGAAACACTACACCACGTTTGCTTGAAAACGTTGAGAGAACCCTCAACGAAACGTCGCTTTAAATAAAATAGTAATTGTGTTCCATATTATGTTCTTTGTATTACTACACCACGTTCTTAACCCATTATTGTCTGCGATATCACCTCGGTGGAAGCGGACGTTAAATAAAGCTATTTCTCTGACTTGACCCATTACTACTTGAACCTCACGACATAGGCTATAGTCGGATAGCCTTTTATCTGTTAACTTTTATATTTGCATTATAATGGCTAGACCCCTCCACCAAAAGTAACAACAGCAAAAATTTCAAAGTGCATAAAATATTGTAAAAACAAAAGAATAACAGAATATTTAGTTTATTTACTAAAAATCTGTCCCGGTTTTATGGAAATTCAGTTATTTACACGTCCTGAAAATAGATAATGCCGAGTGAAGCGACTCGGCGTCGCGATTGATAGAAATATTTTCGTATTTTGTACGCGGTACGTCCACAGAGTAGTACGTCGTTATTTTTACGTACAGTATTGATAGTTATCTTTAAAATTAAAATATTATTTTTTTCGGGCTTTTTTTTTTCTTTGATTGTGGCGTCACGATTGCCCATTATAATTACATTCGGTCCACATACAACTATCTACTTCGCATGCGGAGCTAGTTGTAGTATGTATAATACGAAACAATCTAGAGCCAGTATCCGCTATTTATTTACTAGCGAACGCCAACTCGTTCACTCTCGCAATGTGTTTTCAACGGGTTTACGAGACGGCGGTTATTATAGCTCAATACAGGATAAATAACAGCAAGCCGTTAAAGGTATGTTCAGTCACAGTCAGCTGTTGAAAATGGTGAAAACTGTTTTGATTCAAAGCTTAAAGTCAAACAACGGACAAAGAATGGCGAAAACTTACGAGGTAAGTTATACTTGATAATCTATTGTAATACTAATAGTGTAGTAAATAATGATAACACGGGTCAAAGTTCACCGTATAAATGTATTTAGATCACACGTGGTGTTCGTACTGTTCGTACACAATGATCGAAGTAAGTTGTGTCAGGCCTGTACATTTTCCTCGTTTTTTTTTTAATCATGACAATGCTGCATCTACATTTCCAGCTGGGTTAACTGGATGAAATCAGGAGTCCGTATGATAACTTGTTTTTATTTAGGAGGCCTACACCATGAATTCTATTATATGACAAAGGCCTATAATTCATCCGTCAGTCATTATCTCATTATTGCCATTGGCGGCAAACCATAAACTATAAACAAACTTATATAAATGGCACGGCACCTATTCCTTAATTATTTATTTTTTTATTTTTTTGACAGCCTGTCTAATTTTTAGTTCGACATTAAGTTTACAGTACAAAACTACAGCGAAAATTTAAAAAATGAGAAAGTGTCAAAAAGCGTAAGCATGAAACGTAGGCCTAACTAAATCATAAATGCTGAAATTACACAAAAAGTTAAAGACCTCTAAATATTTTTTGACCCTGTGTAACCTAGAGCTGAGGTAAATGGGTAATTCACCAAAACTGCCAATCCCAAAGGTTGACAGATTCTAAAGCATATCCCTTTGACATATTCATTTTCAATTGGATATAATTTATGTCTATACAAAAATCTATTTTAGTATTTTCATTTTAGGAAGCTGTTAGAACCCTGAATTCACTCCAGTCAAATGCTGAAACCTTAGAAAAAATACGAGCTTCTGGAGATCAACCAAGAGGAAGAAATTTACGTAATATGGAGAAATTTATATTACGTTCCGGTCTTGAGGTTTGTAGTGAACATATGTATCAGAATCATTGGACTCGGTTAACTATATTTTGACAGTTGTCAGAAAAACTCGGTTTTATAAGGGAAAGATTTAGAGATATGTTCTCAGTGACCCTGTGGGTTTTGGGAGTTTATTTCCATTAGCAATACATCATTGTGATATAAATTAGAACTTTCCTGTTGATATTATAGTTCCTGGCCTAGTGACTGGTACACTTTAAATTTTTCTGAATAAACATAGAGCCTACTTACATTTTGTATAGTGAATTTCTAACGCCTCACAAATATATAGATATCATGAGATTTGATTGGATTTCAATAATGATTTAATGATCTATAGCTAATAACACTGTAACCCAGATATCATTTAATCTTGTGTATCTAGCATTAATTTCTTTGACATTCGTTTAAAATCCAATCTTTGTTTAAAAATTCGTAAAAACTGTTTAAAATCACCATAAATCGTTTAATTTGTAATTCTGTCCAGTTTAAAGCTGACCATTCAGTTTTGATAATGAGTGTCCAATTTACAAGTGTTTAATTTTACAATCACTGTTAAAAAATAAACAACCCAATTGATTAATAATGTATAATGATTAATTTTTGAACAGTAGTCAGGAAATTAAATACTTGTAAATTGGACACTCATTATCAAAATTAATCAGTCAGCTTTAAACTGGACACAAGTACAAATTAGATGATTTATGGTGATTTTAAATGATTTTTAGAAATTTCTAAACAAAGATTTGATCAACGAAAGAAATTAGTGCTAGATACACAAGATTAAATGATACCTGGGTTACAGTGTAATCTGATGCAAATTTCACAGATTTTCATGTAAAGCAGCTCTCTGTTAGTAGTAACAAAAGAGTTAATCTGTATATTTTATTTTATTATTTACAGTTAGAAGATGTTGATAAGTTATCTGTAATACACATCAGTGGTACAAAAGGCAAAGGATCCACAGCTGCATTTTCTGAGAGTATATTAAGACATCAGGGATATAAAACTGGATTTTTTAGGTACAGACAATACTGCTAATATTTACTGTCAAACATTGAACTATTTATTGTGCACTCATTAGAAAGGGTTCTATATTTCAGTGGCATTCTTTTATCATTCTGTTATGGTTCTCTGTGGTCATGCACTTAAAAGAGCACGAAGAAATGTGACTGTTTAGGTAAAATTACACATGATCATAAATGATATTAATTATCGTAAGCTATCCCCATTCATTTACTTTGGAAGTGACCGATTCTACATGTATATTTCTATACACCCACATTTATGGGAGGTATATTGTAACAGCTTTTTTTACTTGTTTTACAAATTGCTGGGATTGTTTAGCTAATCCTAAGTAGGAATCCTATTGAAGTTTAGAGTTTGTAAAATGATTTTTCTCAGAGTTACTAAAGCTCTGTAAAAGCTACAGGTCAAGAGTTTTCAAAACTATTTTTTTCTGTAAGTTAACCAGGTACAGTTATCATCTGATTACCGTCTGTTTACGTTAATGTCAGGAAAGACTACAAGTCCATCAAATGTTAATATTTACTGCTTAAGTTTTTGCTGTTGGTCAGTTTTTAGTGTCTTGTAATGCTCTTATTACCTACAAAAGAAGTATGGATTGATTGACTTGAATGGCACAGTTGAGCATGTAGGATATGTTTTGTTGCCTGGCAACTCTCCTTATTTTTTATTTTCAGTTCTCCACACTTAGTTGAAGTTCGAGAGAGGTTTCGTATTAATGGAAAACCAATTGCTAAAGAATTATTTTCATCAAAATTTTGGCATGTTTATAATAAATTGAATGAGTCAAAGGTAAGTACATGTACAAAAATAAAATAAAACAAAAACCTCAAATCAACATAGGAAAATCAGCGTTTAATCTTTTCGTATAGATTCCTTTAGGATAAGAAAAAATTATTATTATCTAGCAAAAGCAAAACTTTTTTTTATTATCTGAACATTTGATTATTCAAACTTATAGTTTTAAAAGAACTATATATTATCCAACTATTTTATTATCCTGAGATTTGGTAAATATGTATCAAACTTTATAAGTAGAGTAATACAAACCTATTCTGATATGAACTTAATCAGATGAAGGTCAACAGGTTTCAATTTTACACCTCTATTGATGTACATGCAAGGGCAATTGTTATCATGGTTAAGTTTGACCTATTTATTTGATCATAAGTAGCCATTGATTAGACATTGGTTCAAAACAATGCAAGCTGTGGTTACTGTCCTTAAATCCCCTTATTGTTAACATCACATTATGTAGGTACAAGTCGATTACCATTACTTTTTAAATGTAATCATTACAATCACTTTCTCATTTTTAGCTATGTAATTAATTACCATTACCCCTTACATTGAAAGTAATTAATTACCATTACCCATTACTTTGTGACATTGAAAAGACAACCATATTTTTCTGCAATAGAGCACCAACAAAAGAGTGCTCAAAATAATCATTGATTGGCTATTACAGACTTTTTTTTATATGAATTGTTATTTCTATAAAATATCTCATCAAGACAAAAGGAAGTTTTCAAGTGAGGGGCGTTTGAAATATTCCATTACTCATTACATGACCATTACTTTGAAAATGTAATGATTCCATTACTATTTTCCAGATCTGATTTATAATATTCATTTATAAAATCATATTGGGTGTCCGGGGTATTCATTCATTCTACACACACACACACACACACACACACACAGATGCACCCCTTGAGTTGTCAAATATGGATTTTGACATAATCAAACTAAGTAATGTTGCTGGGCCTCTCACCAAAAGATTTATGGATATAATTTTGAATTTTCAGGTTGATTATGATGGATTGATGCCACCGTATTTTGCCTTTCTAACTGTTTTATCATGTCATATATTCTTGGAAGAAAAAGTTGACGTAACTATTCTTGAAGTAGGGATTGGAGGAGAATATGACAGCACCAATTTTATACGTCATCCTGTTGTGTGTGGAATTACGTCTCTTGGCTTAGATCACACATCTATATTAGGCAACACTATAGAATCCATTGCTTGGAATAAAGCAGGAATATTTAAGGTAAATATTTTTGCATTGATAATTGTACAATATTAAAAAGAATTCAACCAAAAGAAGATGTTAATACAAGAAAGCTGGTTCACATCTCTGTTTATGTGCCAAATTAAGCCATCTGCAATGCTATGCCAAGATTTGTTCTAAATGATTCACATTTTCAGTTTTGTAATTCTAAGTTGGCATGACTCATATTAATGTATATTTGGGAAGCAATTTCAATTGATTTATAATCTGTGTGTGACTGGTATAGGGGATAATAATTATCTAAGTCAAATGTTCTTCCCATTCCCAATCTATTTTGCAGATGTTTTGTATATAATAAAATCACATTATATTCCCGAATAAAACACATTAACCCTGCACTAGTGTATAAGTTGACACATATTTACTACTTTTTGATGATGTTTTGGCCAAAGTCACAAATACAGATGGTTTTCAATTTCCTAAAAAGAATGTCACAGAGCTTTAGATAGTTTCATCCGATTAGAATCAATATGTCAATCTTTCACACAGAATCAACCAGTATATCTAAGTATTGGTATTTAGTATGTTACAATATTTGTGAGTCTGGGTTGTTTTGTGGTGTCAATTTAATACGCTTATAAATGTTTCTGTAGACAGGTGTTCCAGCCGTAACAGTTGAACAGTCACCTGAAGCTATGATGGTCATCCAGGAAAGATCAGTGGAAAAAAAGGTATAAAGATGTTCTATAAATAAAGGGCAGTTCAAGTTCAAAATCCACAAATACAGACAATTTAGTACATACACTTCACCATATGAACATGCTCTTTTTTGAAAAGAGTAAGCATACACTTACTATTTTATACATAATATGGGTCTGTGAAATGTATGGATAAGGATTACTTAAAGGCAGATTTCAGCTAGTGTGTTGAATATGCCTGTCTTAGTACAATACTATGTACTATCTTGCATTAAGTCTGGCGTGGAATACAGAAATAGATCAGCCTGTAAAGGAGCACATTTGGTACTCATAGGAGTACCCATTACCCATACACGCTGATGGATTGTTTGACTGTGTTAAATATTGTACTTCAAGATAATAAGTTTTAATATTTTCTTTACTTCAGAATCCAGTATATGTAACATTACCTTTACCAGATCATGAAAAGATAACTCTTGGTATTCATGGATGTAAACAAAGATTAAATGCTGGCTTGGCTTTACAACTATGCAAGATATGGAAAAATTCAATTGCAAAAAAAGGTATAAGATTCTTAAAGTTTTGTACTGAAATTGTGAAAGATGTTTTTAATAGAATAAGGCCAAATAAATGTATTTTATAGTAGATATATGATGTACAGTGGACTCTGTCACATGCGACCTCTGAATATTCCGGCACTCTGAAATCCGACATCATTTATTTATTTCCTTATTATTTCAGTCAAAAAATCTTTGAGTAATCCGTACTCATATTCCGAATTACAACATCAATCAACCGTCCTGTAACACAATTTCCATTGAATTGACACTGTATAATCCGGCCTTCAATCAGTGGGTGTGAAGCCACAAAAGATGAACAAGAAATCACCAATCAATTATTGGTGAGATTAAAACTCGCTCGCGTAGCTCTTTGTCAATTACTTTGGTAATTTTATAATCTCTTGTAAGACAGTTGTGACAAATACTCAAGAGTACCCGTGAATTTTCCCACAAATAAATCACAGTCGTAAAAATATTCCTAGCACCTGTTGGAAACATTCGTTGCGCATACCGATTGAACCTGAATACCTAAGTTTGTTAACCTTACGGATCTATCCGGACCATGTGACGACAACCTGGACATAGAATTAGAACGACAGATTATCAATGAACATGTGACACCAAAAACAAGTGTGCGATCAACTGAAGAAGATAAATTAACGACAGACATGACCTATTCAAAATGCCTATGCATGTTAAATGAAATAAAAATTGATGTAATAAAATTTTGAATGTACAGAAAGGTTTATCATTTTTAAAGGGAATAACATTCTGGGGATTAGAAGCTACATTATAATAATACTTCCGGTTTTCGAAGTTACAATAATACTTCCGGTTTTGATGAAACTGAGTATTCCGACACTCTGCGTAATCCGACATATTGTAACGATCCCGCACGATGTCAGAGTCCACTGTACATGTATGTTTAATTTATATATTCAAATAAAAAAAATTTTCTCTTTTGAAAATCTTAACTGGATCCATTCACATTCCATTTATAGATATAGATATGAATACTAATTGTATTGCTAGTGAAGTATTAAGTAAAAGTAATATTTGTGGTATACCAGTTCTTAACATAGATAGATTAACAGATGAAGAAAAACAAGGTAAAAGTCAAACATATGAATTCTATCCTTGACAGTCAAAATCCTAAATATTTTTTGCCAAAAAACACATCTTATCAAATAATACTACCAATTTTCATTTTAATGTAGCTACCATTATTTAGTATATGTGATTTTATACAAGGTGTGTGTTATCTGAATATAAATGTTTTGGGGATATTGTAGGTTTATCTGAATGTAAATGTTTTTGGTTGATATTACAGGTTTATCTGAATGTAAATGTTTTTGTTTGATATTACAGGTTTATCTGAATGTAAATGTTTTTGTTTGATATTACAGGTTTATTGAATGTAAATGTTTTTGGTTAATATTGCAGGTTTATCTGAATGTAAATGGTATGGTAGAAATCAAATAGTACATAAACCTGGTATTACATATTATTTAGATGGAGCTCATACCAAAGACAGCATGCAGGTGAGTAATTTATTGCCATAATAAACTGTGTTGTTTGTTCACAGGAGAATATATTTATACTGGATGGCAGTTTTCCTTTTGATGCAGTTTCTTGATTTGACAGAATTGCTCATAACGAAATAAAATGGAACCCTTAAAGACTTAAAGCCTGTGAATATGATACAGAAATAAAGGTTGCAATAGATTTTGTAAAATCTTGGTGGGATTGTTGACAACCCAAAAATTTTAGGGTATTTTTCAGAGTTATTCCCACGTGTACTTTCAAATTGATGAAGTCAAGGATTAAATATTATTTTTCTATGTATGATTTTAATTGCATTTTGTAGAGTTATTATTCTTTGACAAATTTACTTTTAAAATTGATTTGGACAGCAGTTTTCCATAGAGGATTGTCTAGGTGTTTCTGCTATTATTTTTGATATTTGATTGTTTTTAATTTATATTCAGCAGAATGTTTGCTGGTCTTCCTTTCAAAGATTAAAAGCATGGTGATGTTTTGTAATGATAGAATACCTTATTGAACTTAAGTTCTGATGACCAAGGATAGCCAACTTCCCATCTCATTTACTTTTACCGAGCACAGGGCAGTTATGTACTCTATTTAGAATTTCTTTGTTTATTTTAGCAATGTGTTTCATGGTTTAATGAATTATCTCAAGCAGAAGCAGAAAATATATCGTAAGTTATTATTGTTCATTGCTAATCTCTATTGTCTGTCTTGACATAATCTTTCTTAAATAAATATGGGAAAATTGACCCGAATTCCAAATAGTATAAGGCGGCAGGAGAAGAATCATTATCAATTTCACTATGGCATTTAAAACCTGAAATTTGCTCTTTTGTTGAAACCATACTTCCATTTATTATGCTTCTGATAAACTGTTGAAAAAACATGGGAGTATGCTGGTGATTCAGATGTTGGTAATACAATAATTGTTTTAATTTTAGGGGACAAGTGGTAAAAGTATTATTATTTAATGTAACAGGTGATAGAGATGTTGTACCATTACTTACAATGTTACAGGTAATTTATTCTATACAGGTGATTTATTCTATACAGGTAATTTCTTTGATTCTGATTGTATCCTGTGAACACAATAAAGCCAACACTTCCTTAGCTCTTAACTGACCCCATGTCGACACTTATAATGTTACCGTTTACTACTGTCAACAAATCTGATTAGCCGAATGCAGCGTTCCTGGCATGATGAGTTACTTCCTTTATAAACAGACGACTATCACATGTTTGTTTACTTCCTGTTTGACAATTGTGACAGTTTAAAATCGTACTATAGTAAAACAGTGATATGTCTATACGAAAATGTTCTGCTAATGATGGATTGCCTTCCATATTAAATGACAGTGATTCTTGGTGGTTTACTCTAGATTTTGATAGTTTTGTGTTAGAATGTGATAGAAGTAGGCCTAACCAACAAATTATTTGATTGTAGTTTAAATAATGGTGTTTAGTTCACAACAGTCCCCCCAAAATGGAAATCACCATTATAACACATGAATTTTGCATGAAATATCTAAATTATATATATATAGAGAGAGAGAGAAATGGGGTTGACACAAACTAGGTCATATCGGGACTAACATATGGTTCAATTTTATTTCAATAATTCGTTTGCGCGTAAGGCGTTTTTAGCAGTTGGAGGAAACCGGAAGACCCGGAGAAAACCCTCAAGATTGGACAGGCGACCCTACTCCTTGTCACGTACCACCAGGGAATCGAAACCACACCAGTTGATACAGCACGCACATGTTAACCATTCGCCCCCCCCCCCCTCTAAATTATATAATATTTGCCATAGTAGTTTGTGGCATAAAATTTATATTTATGAAAATGGCATTAAATCTAGATTAATACATCTATTTACATGAAGGATCTATCTATAGTTGTTTTTTAATGAGATGCCTTTAAAATGCATATATCTATTGACCTTTATGACGTGGGTTTCTATAACATTATTTGTCAGACTTCTGGGTCACTCAAGAGTTAAAGTTATTGCACACAATTCAGAGCATCAATAAAAGTTCATTTTGATCATTTTTATGAGAGAATGGCCACATTATGCCATCATTTAATACTTTTATTGATTTTCCATTGCAGCCAATAAATTTTGATGCTGCTGTTTTCACTCCTAATTTAACATTTACCTCAGTTGACCAGATGCATGCAGGTAAAACATGGTTTATATTCTTACTTCCACCAGTTCTGTTAAGAGCCGATTGTTCGCAACTTTTGGCATTGTGAACCCAGTTTAAGAATAGCTTTGCATGTAATGACAGGGTACTGGACTCAAATTTGGTTAGCGATAGCAAACTGAAGTTAAACATGCATTATGCAAGAGTAAATCTGTCTATTGTAGGTCTTTCTTCAGGAATGAAATGTTATCTAAATTATTAATTAGACATTAATTACCTTATCCACACCATAATCAACTCTTTATGCCATCAGATGGCTCTGATATTTAATAGATTTGAATATGTTTTGTGGTTGATGAAATAACCATAAAAATAGATAATCAAGACTTTGTTTATTATCGTAACAATGGTAGTAATTACATTCGAGGCTAGACAAAAATTGTATCGCCGATAGCTTGGTTCAGAGTGAAGTAATTTGACTGAAATGTTCAGCATATTCTCTTTTCATTATCTATTTTTTAACTATTATAGCGAGAACTGTCAGCTCTTTATCTGATCTTACCTAATGCTGCTTTAAGTTTTTTTCTACTAAACTGTGCATTGGTATTAAACTTTGTACTCAGATTGGGCAGAGTTGCTCTCAAATTGAGGGGCTTGATATAAGCTGCGCTCCCTTAATACAGATGCAGGAAGACTATGCATTTGGATATTCATTGTTGAACTAGTTTTTTATGATTGGTTGTCTTGGTGAATACAGTAATCTCTTGCTATAAGCTGTAACTGCCATATGGCTGGCTGCAGGCAACCAGTAAAAATGAAATGAAATGAAATGGGGTTTAACGTCCTACTGTCCTGCTCCTATGCTGGGCTGATGAAGACGGGCATACGCAATACAGTGTGCTATGACTATGAGGGAAATTTTTGCCCGGGCAGCGGCACTATCGCCTACTCTTATATCGAATTCCAACTGCCAAGGGCTCTTTTATGCGCATTCCAATGTATACACGGTCCCACCCGAACGACTAGGCAGCTGTCCTTGTCAGGCCCTCCGTCCTGCATCACTGACAAGGGGGAACCACGCCGGAAAATCTGGATGAACTTTCTCGGCCAATGCAGGGATCGAACACCCGACCTCCAGGCTAGCGAGCCAGCGTCTCACCCACTTAGCCATGTGATCCCCCAGGCAACCAGTAGACATCATTCAGATTAAAAGCTCAAACTTGTGAGTGTGGCAGTGCCAGACGATGCCACGTGATCCCCCAGGCAACCAGTAGACATCATTCAGATTAAAAGCTCAAACTTGTGAGTGTGGCAGTGCCAGACGATGCCAAAGCTATATCTAATTTCAACTGACCTATTTTTGGATCTTATTCCTATAACATGATTAATCAAAATATTAAATAGGTTTGTTGTTTGTTAATTTGTTTTATTTGTATCCTCTATAGAAAATGTGAATACAGTAGACTCTGCATATAACGGACGCGCATACAATGGACAATCGCTTATAACGGACACAACAGTTTGGTCTTGATTTTTGTAATAGAAGGTTATTTTCAAAGTCTTTTATAGCGGACACTGTATAACGAACAATCGTTTATAACAGACAATTTTCATCGGTCCCTAATCGACAAATCAATGTAAAAGTCCATTTTTATAACGGACTCTCGAATAAGCAGAACAAAATGATGATATTACTGATTTTCTTCATGTTTCTGGCGGATTCAAGCAGACCTGCATTACAGACTTTTTCAAATAAGCTTGTTTATTTTGAACATCCATGACTTTTATGTAAATATCTGTATGTTCTGTAGATTCTGCATATGATAAATGTTGTTATTTCATGGGATGGTGTTACCTTCTGGTCGCTAATTCAGATTTGATAGAAGATTTTTAGTATAACGGATGATTTCTTCCGGTCCCGAGGTGTCCGTTATATGCAAAGTCTACTGTATTTTTTTTTTAAAGATAATGTGAAGATAAGTTGTTTAAGTTTCTTCTCTATAGATGATTTGCATAGACCTTAATTTTCATTTTCTCTTTTCTAGATAATGTGAATAGAACCGTGTCAGATGCATCAAAACAGAGAAGATGTTGTTTAAATAAAGAAACTTGGGATAAATTATTCCAAAAGCAAACAGAATGTAAAACATCTATGCTGGACTGTGTTTTAAACAAGGACCTGTCTGTCAATGAAGATAATAATAATGATGTTTTATCAAGAAATGCTCACAAAAATAGTGTGATTTCCTTGACTGCCAAAGACAAACCTCTAGTGTCCTATTCTTTTCCATGTATTTCAAGTGCTTTATTTTGGGCTACTCAAGGTCTAGATTCATCTGCATCTATTGAGTCTGAGAGCGAAATTCCTGATATTCCAAAAACTTTCCGTCATAAAGCTCACATACAGATTCTAATTACAGGAAGCCTGCACTTAGTAGGAGGAACTTTAGAACTAATAATGCCAAATTTAAATGACTGAGTTATTGAATTTTAACATTAGTGTTATATTAATACTAATATTTAATATGGGGCGATTTTAGCATAATTTCCAAAACCAATATATGTCTCTTCTAACTTGTTCCTTTTAAAGGTAGCAGAGAATATAACAGAAAGTGGACTTCGTTATATGAGAAGTTCCCAGTCAATAACTAAATATTGGGTAATAGATGTCCAATGAATAAGTTATGGCTGGTGTGATGGTAAAAACTGAAAAATAAGGATGAATCTAAAATAACACATCTATATATAACTGTAATCATTTGACAACAAAACATTTGGTTGTATCAGAATTTTGAATGTTAATAATTATCCTTCCTGGTTCCACGTAGGAGGTATTTCTAAAATGATATGCTAGATCATATTCATTTTATACACAGTTGGTGAATGGGAGTATATGAATGAAAATGAATGATCGGGAAGTCTGATACAACAATTTCAAATTGAGATATATTTATGTTGTATTGGCTACAGCAAGATTCTGAGAGGAAAAAATAAAAATGTCATAACATTTTACAAAATTTAATTTGAAAAATATTATGATTCAATAAGCAGAAATTAATTGAACCGGTCGAGTCTACACAAGTTTTCAAATTGGGATCCAAACATGTAAATTTGCTTTTATTATTTTATCTGAGCTTTTTGGTATCAAACAATGTAAACATCTCATTTACAAAAAATGGAATATATAATTATAGAAGCTAGCATTATTTTCTAACTCATCAGAACATCTGTTATATAGCCATGGTTAAAAGCTGTATTTAATTCGTTCTCAGTCATGTTTTTGATTTGCTCAATTTAATTTTCCTAATCCCAATGGGAAAATTTTATATCTTCGTATTGCCTCCTGAGCAGCATCAGTTGTATGTATAAAGTTACATGACCCCAAAAATCGGTAAATGTAGACATTTTTCATTGACAGAGAAATTATTAATATAATCATAAGGTAATATATATAATTCACTTTTGGGTCCTGGGCCCTTATTCACGAAAACTTAAACTAAGATACAATCAAAATTTTAAGAAATACTGCAATTCGATTGGCTGACCAGTAAAATCAATTTGCATATATCCAATTTGCATATTGGTCAGCCAATCGAATTGCAGTATTTCTGAAAATTTCGATTGTATCTTAGTTTAAGTTTTCGTGAATAAGGGCCCTGTATTGTTAGCCCTTTCTTTATTATTTAAATGACCTCTAAATTCTATAGAAATATTGTCCATCTTATATATACTTCATGTCAATAGGCATAAATACTACTTTTATATATATATAATGTATTTTATAAAATATGATGATCAATACAATATATTTGAGATAAAAGAATGTTCTTGTATATATTGCAAGTCATCCGATTATAAATGACCTTACAATTCTTTACAAACTATACAATAATACTTTATTGGAGACCAATACACACTCAATTGTATTCGGATTTTGTTAGTTATCGTTTGGACAGAATGCTCTTTTCCAAACAAACATGTTTTCTTGACTCCACCTGGATGTTGTAAGTTCACTTGTTTTGTGGGGTTTTTTTTGTCCGTTTAATATACTAAGACTATAGATTTAATTTAGGACTATTGCAATAAACCTATAAATATAAAACATTAGTTTAATTGTATTATTGGTCTAAATATTTTTGTGGCAATAAATTTGAAAATGGTTGATTGATTGAAATAAATGATTTTTAAGTTGTAAATAGGTAATCTTAGGACACTATGTGTAGTCGTAAACAAGTCCACAACCCCATGTACCTGTTGACAAAAGTTTGAATTAAAGGATTTCAATTAGGATACTAGTTTTGGCCTTATGAGTTGTGACAGTTCAAGAAGAATTATTGAAGCATCCCAGAATATGTTGTTACATTCGTTTTTCATTTAATTTCCGTATTTTTATATATACGGGATCAATACTGAACATCTAACAATTTTATCATGGTGTGTTATTACTTGTGTAATGTAAACGACTGAAGGAAACGCTCTGCGAGTCTTGCCAATACATCGAACATGGTTTAATTATTAACTCACTTCAGCATAACTTAGACCACGGCAACCGGTCTGAATTTTTGTTGGACCTTGTGTGGTGTAGATAATTAGAACTATAAAGGCGAAACGAAATAACAATATTTAATTATAATTAGATGTCACATCTTTAATATGTAGATACTATTCGTAGCGGTTCTTATACTGGATATATATTATTTTTGATCTTTCTGTAGGAAGCTGTTAAAGTCCTTAACTCTCTACAACCTAGCCCAGAAGCTTTAAGGAAAAAACTTAATGATCCAACGAGAGACCTTTATGAACCTTTAAAGCATATAAACGAATATATGTTAAGAACGGATATTAATGTAAGTATTAGTATTGGTGATACACTGGTTACCCACTGGTTACCCTTCACATAATGTAATCGCTTCGAGGAAGAATCGTTAAAATTTATAGACATCAAAATGGAGTTATCTCCCCTTTTACCCTGCAACCAAAAGCTCCAAATTTCCAATAGAGTGGAATTAAATGGGATTTAACTTCCTACTTTTCTGCGCCAACTGAGTTAATGAAAACGCTACGCACTGTGCTATTAGGAATATCTTGCCCGGACAGCGCCAATGGATCTTTTAAGTGCATGCCTACTGTAGGCCTACACTTGACCTCGGGTTTTTGTCCCGTTCGAATGACTTGACACTGTCCATTTCCAGGCCCTCCGTCCTGTACCGGTGACACGGGGACATCGCGATGAAAAATCCCAGAGGATCTTTCTCGGTTATTACCAAGATCGAATCCGGTAATTTCCGGTTAATGAGGCAGATACCTTTTTTTGCCATACTCACTTTGCCACCGTGGCTCCCTAATTTCTAAAAAGCTTGGAGCATGTATGCCTCTTATATTCATGCGCGAATTGCCATAATTGCTGGACTATAAGAATGGATAAGTCTATACTAATCCGAAACCAATAAATGTATTTGTCCCCCATTTTCAATCAGTGGAAGAAAGACCTCTAACCTATTTTAAGCGATGATTATCCTGTCACAAATCTTAATGGGAAATAACCCTTTCTGCCTTTTGGGTCAACTGCGCCGTCTGTATAACTGATGCGTGAGTTTAAATACAAAAACACCGGAATTTATAGAGGAATGGCGATTTTATCAAAAGCATAAAATTTTGAAAGCGCTTTTATTTCAGCCTTTTGTATCCGGTTCAATTTCGTCATGTTTGGATGTTGTATATAGGTTAAATGAAACTATTTGAAAATAGATATTAATCTATGATATATTTTATAGCATGATGACTTGAACAAACTAGGTGTTATACATATTACTGGAACTAAAGGAAAGGGATCTACATCGGCATATTGTGAAAGTATTCTAAGGCACCAAGGTTATAAAACTGGATTTTTTAGGTAAGTTGGGAGTAAAAACACGTTTGTCTTGGCATAGAACTTAATCAGAACCGAATCAAACCGGATACCGCAACACCTGGTCCACACTTTGCAATTTGACAAGACCATAATATCAACATTCTGTTTTGTTTACAGCTCACCCCACCTAATGGAGGTTAGAGAACGTTTTCGTATAAATGGTAAACCAATGTCAAAAGAGAAATTTTGTCAAATATTTTGGGTTATTTATAATCAACTGGTTGCTACTAAGGTAAGATGCGCTGCTAATCCATGCAGTTTAACATAGAAAGATTATTACAGCTGATCGTGGTATGCCATTAAGACCAAAAGATTTGAGTCGTATCAAAAATCTTAGCCTCCAGTCCCGCCCACTACCCCATAGGATGAAGGATATATTTTGAGAATGCTGACTGCAAATATACTTACTGTATGTTGAATAATAGCTATGCTACTAAAATATTTTTTTATTGAAATAAGTTCAACATTTGGCGAGTAATACTATGAAGCGGGCTCAATAACCATTGGGTTCCTAGTTCGATCTCGTGTTGGAAATGAAATGAAATGAATAGAGTTTAACGTACTACTGTTATGCCCCGACGGGGCTAATGAAAACGGGCATATGCCATACAGTGTGCAATGAGGGAAATTTTTCCCGGGCAATGGCACTATGGCCTACTCTTACATCGAATTCCAAATGCCAAGAGATCTTTTTTTCATGCATGCCAATGTATGCACGGCACATCGGTTTTGGTCCCATCCGAACAACTAGGCAGCTGTCCGTTTTCAAGTATACCCCGGTGTTTCTAGCTTATGCATGTATTAAGCGGATGACAATCAATACTAAAAAGAGCCCCCAAATCAAAAATGGACCCCCTAACTAAGTAACCCTAGAGCCTATCTTACCCACGAGCACCTTCTCGAGCTTGACAAGGAAATGGCATCTACTTCTATACATACTATTGTTTTTATCTTCTGTTTTTTTAGGCACAGTATGAATATCGAATGCCAAGATTCTTCTGTTTTTGCACACTATTAGCTTGCCATTTATTTAAACAAGAAAATGTGGATGTTTTTATAATGGAAGTTGGTATTGGCGGTGAATATGATGAAACCAATCTAGTTCCCAAGCCGTACATATGTGCAGTTACCTCCCTTGATATAGATCACGTAGATGTATTAGGTAATACTATCGAGTCTATTACCTGGCATAAATCGGGCATATTTAAGGTAAATAAATGCTATATTTTGTCATATTTTCTTATTTTACCCATTCGAGAGAATATAATCCAGGGGCTCAGTACCTGCGCGGGTGTGTACATCAAATGGGAACAAAACCAGTCCCAATTTCTCTAAAGTAATATTTTACGTAGCTAAAATAGATTGTCACGTTTAGCCGCAGAACATTATGGGATATAGGGACGGACCGTAACCCAGCATCCCTCGACCTTTGCTGGGTACATCCATTATGGCCCTTTGTTGATTTAAAATCAATGAAAATTCTGTTGTACGCATTTTCCGGATTAACACCCCATATCCACATTTTGCCTTACAACTTGTGAACGCAATAGAGTGTAAATTTTTTAGACGATATTATTTTCAAATTTGATGTGAAGCATTGGGGTCATTATTTCTCTAGTTACCCCCCCTTTCAAAAAAGCGTGTGAGCGTTCCAGAGTTATATCCCTCTTTTCTACAAACCTTGTGAACTCGTAGCAGCTACAGTTTTCAAAGGATTTTTTCTACATATTCGGTGTGAAATATTCAGCGTTTTTAGCAGATTTGTTTTTCAAATTTGGTGTGAAGCATCAGCGCCATGAGAGAACGAACCCTATCGGTATATTACCCAATTTATAATGGCCATTGATATCACCTCGGTGGAAGTGGACGTTAAATAAAGCTATTTCACACACAATAACGCATGAGAGATGGACCAACGGTGTTAATATATGTTAATATTTCTCGTTTTGGTTCTACATGTAAGTGTTGGTATAATAAGGATTAACTGACAGTCACTCTGACTCACTCATGTATAGAATAATGTTTTATATGTTAGAAAGGAAGTCGTGGTGTAACATCAGAACAACCAGAAAAAGCAATGGAAGTTATGTTATCTAGATCTAAAGATAGGCAGGTTAGTAAGACTATATCCTAATATGGTTCAAGATTCACGAGGATTATTGTTGTCAAAAACCCCCAACAGATTGTCGAGGAAGTGTGTTGGCTATACATCTTTACAAAGAAAAGATCTAAACCCCTTTGATTTAGGTCATATTACAGTACTGATGTTCAGACTGTATACATTACATGTAAATTTCGAAACATTAAGTTTAAATTTTATCTTCTAATATGCTGTGTTGACAATGGAACGGAAAATTGACACTGGCTTTTTCAATAGGAATAAATATTTTGTCATATACATTTTTAAGCCACCCTTCTGATTACTGATTATTGATTATTGTGTAATGCCTAATCTCGGATTTACTACCCAGACACCCAAATCCTGTTCACTATCATAGAACGAAGTTTTGAAGATTTTGAAATAAATATGGATTTGCTTTCTTTTTATAGTGTCCTGTGTATGTTGCGTTACCACTAGCAGAAGAATATGGGAAGATATTAAGTATAAGGGGTGAAAAACAAAGATTAAATGCAGGCTTGGCTGTAGAGATTTGTAGATTGTGGAATATACGACACAAAACAGGTAGGCGTTGCCCATCATTACATTGTATAATTATTAATCATAGTACTATATATAATATGACTGCAATTTTTTTTATATCATTGTGATCAATAGGGGCTCTTCATTATATTAATTTTATCAAAATGAACATATTATTCAGGTTATCAAAATGAAGAAACTGCTTATATTTGTGATCAAAGTAAACATATTGTTTACATTAATGTTGTCAACTGAACATATTGCTTACATTAATGCTGTCAACTGAACACATTGCTTACATTAATGCTGTCAACTGAACATAATATTGCTTACTTTAATCTTATCGAACTGCACATAATGTGTATTGATGTTATGAGATTGAACATATTGTTTATATGAATGTCATTTGTTGATAAAAAGAAATGTATCAAACGAAACAAATAGCTTATATTAATGAAACGTGGTGTGTATATTACAGGCCAATCTTGTTCATCAGAAGATATATCATTAACTAACGAGAGTCTTCATGGTGTGCCTATATTACAATCTGCCCCACTGTCACAAGAAGAAAAAAAAGGTAATAGTCATAATAATTAAATGTGACATATTATGTCAAATTTAACTAGAACTAATGGGGTTAGCAAACAACCCGTTGGGGGTCAACAATAGATCATGTTTATAAAATGAACCCAGGATATCCAACTGATACATTCAGAATACATGGGGGGAATGTGTAGCATATAAATTATTTTTCTTGTTTTTGTTTTTGGGTTGTTTTTTTTTTTAACATGTCGGCCGTTTTCAAATATTGTATCCGAATTGAAATGTATGGGGTGTTACCTGTAGCTGAATTGTAATGTTTAGGATCTTGCCTGAATATTAAGGTTTATCTGAATTTTAATGTTTTGGATTATCTAATGGTTAATATTTTTGTCCCAGTTACCCACGCTAACACATTGTAGTGACATTGTGGGGATGGCGTGGGTCACAGAGGTTATTAATTTTTTGGAATATTATCCAAGATAATCAGAATTTTAACGTTTGAGATATCTGGATATTACAGGTTTATCTGAATGTAAATGTTTTTGTTTGATATTACAGGTTTATCTGAATGTAAATGTTTTTGTTTGATATTACAGGTTTATCTGAATGTAAATGGTATGGTAGAAATCAAATAGTACATAAACCTGGTATTACATATTATTTAGATGGAGCTCATACCAAAGACAGCATGCGAGTGAGTAACATACTAATAGTTGTATTGTGATTTACAATAGGAAGCTCAGTCAGTCTTATCGGGATCATAATAGAATAAAGACGATATTAGTTTAACCTGTTTATTCTTTTGAATTTAGCAATGTGCAACTTGGTTCAAGTCGGTGTCTAAATCAGAAGAAAGTAATATTGAGTAAGTATTTGTTTTTTGGCATCACATGACTGTCACTATTATTTTTGACAAATTATTTAATAAAACGGAGAAAAAGAACGGTCATGTTTGAAATAAGGTGGTCTTTCTCCGGTGCCAATTAGACAAAAGATGTTGCTTAGAGCTTTCAATGCCGAAAATATAGAGATTAAATACACAGTATTTTTATATTTTCCCTTATATTTTGACATGGAGTCATTAATAGGCCGTTCCAGTACAGGACGAGTGTAATGAGACTTGCGATCAGAGCTGAACTAAACCTGATGTTGCTAATGAAATTAGAGTCAAGATTACAATAACGTAGATACTGAGTGGGCGGGCTGTTAACGTCCGCTAAACATTAACTAGGTTAATTAAAGACTAACAAAGGTACATTTTGTTAGAAATTGATGGAAACCAGGTTATTCAACCTAGGCGACCTTCTCAATGTCAAGTACAAGCATAAGATTGAAACTTTTGACTTGCGTAACTTCTCTTTAGCTCGATAGACCACTCGGTCACACACCCAATGTAATGTAATTTATGATACAATGAATTTAATTTACAGAGGAAAGGTTGTGAGAATTTTGATATTAAATGTGACTGGTGACAGAGATGTTGCTTCTTTGGTTTCTTTTTTAAAGGTATGTAACCATTTACTACATTTCATTGTTCATGTAAGTATAATACACAAGGACAACACAGGAAAAGGTGCATTTGAGTGATGTATATTTTGAGACTAAACTATGGTTATTTTAAGATATGTGAAGGATGTTACACGTACATCATAATGTACTATAGTCCTGCAGATGTACCCATTGCACTTAAACATTCTTGGGTCTTGAGCAGTTGAAGTTTAGCATAATTTTTACAAATGTTGTGTTGTGAGAGATTTTCTGTTTTATATTTTAGCCATGTGAATTTGACGCCGCTGCTTTTACTCCAAACAGAAAGTATAAAGATATCTCCAAAAATAGAGCTGGTAAGTAAAATCAACCCAGATAACAGTTCCGGTGTTCATCGCTCAGGGGAGTGTGGGGGAGGGATGGTTAGTGCATGGGCGTTGTATAAGGTCTGTCATTGAGTCAACTGGTGTGGTTTCGATTCCCCGGTTGTACTGACAAGGAGTAGGGTCGCCTGTCCAATCTCGTGGGGTTTTTTTCCACTGCTAAAGACCCCTACGCGCAAGCGAATAATTGAAATAAAAATGAACCATATGTTAGTCCTGAAATGACCTAGTTTCTGTCGAAATGACGTTAAACTCTCTCTCTCTCTCTCTCTCTCTCTCTCTCTCTCTCTCCATCGCCCAGGTCACACTATAATGCTGGCATTTGTCAAATATATATTAGAAAATGTAGAAAATATACAATTCACACATACCTTGACATCTTCCTGGACCTTAAAATAAAGATAGACTGTTAGCAATTTGGTTGTTATATTCAATGTAAAACTGTTAAATGAGTATGTAAACGGTCATTTTATTTCTTCAGTTGTGTTTTTGTTTTTCTTATTTTTAGATGAGTTTGAACTGAGTAATAATGATGAAATGAAACAAATACAAAGTAGGCGATGTAAACAAATATGGGATAATACAGAAAATGATACCATGATTAATAATACAGAAAATGACGTGATGGTTGGTAATACCAAGATCTCCCACTATTTTCCCTGTATAACCGATACCTTAGTATGGGTTACCCAGGGAAGAGACGCTAATATTTCCAACATTACTGAAGAAACTCTGCCAGACGTTCCTCCTAGCCTTAAAGATGCTAACCATCTACAGGTTCTAGTAACGGGAAGTTTGCATTTAGTAGGAGGCGTTTTACTCCAGATTTCTCCGGGATTAAATGATTAAATATGCTAAGGCATCTTCATAATATCGAGATATTGTGATCTAGGCCCGATACCTTGACCGCGTTGTTTGCAGATTTTTATGGCTATATTATCAAAATTAAGAGTACTACACCATAAACGTTTGAGAAAGTAGCCTTAGTTTCACACGGTCACAGGTATCGATTTATGCGAGTGCTGTATTGTGCGATTATTGATTTTCGCAGGATATAAATCGGCTATTTTCAGATAACTGTTGCAATACAACTTAGTAGGCAAAGACAGTCAATGTACTTGGTATAACATAGGCCAATGTCGCATAATCTTGATATTGTGAAGATGAGTTTTAGTTAGATGGTAAAGATTCAACAATAACAATAATATTTTAAATTGCGCACCATTTCTTTTGTACAAAACCCCCATGCATAATAATATGAACGTGACCGCGGTTTTATCTTATTTATGCTTCCCTTATATCGTTGTTTGTTTAGGCTCATCTATTAAATTATCTAATGTATGTTGTATTCAACTGTGAATGTTGCGTATATTTGTATATTTGGGTTCATATTTGGGTTCATATAATGTGAATGTCTGTATTTTGTAGCGCGCTATAATCCAATGCCTTACTCAACGTAAGCGTTTATACACAACTAACCGGCCGTGGCGTACTGGCCGGGTGGGGTGGGGGCTTTCGTTGAGGCAAATATACCTTGGCGGCCGAAAACTCGGTCAAGTGATGTCCGAGATCAAATAGTCCCGTACGCCCATGCTTAATGTTATGCTTTTAAACGAGCTTCAAATTGCTTCAAAGTATGAATGGACCGAAGTTCATCTGGTAGAGAATTCCTTTTATCAGTCCATCCATATTTGAAGTTCTTGGAAGGCGGGTGAAATTGTTGTTAGTTTCTTGATTAGATCCTGGGAGAAATGAGTCACACAAACTTTTGTAGTATCTACACCCTTACCTATACATATATTGGTTTCATCTGTTAAATTGGTTTCATCTGTTAATTATTTTTTCTTTAAATTAATAATATTGTTATGTATAATGTTTATATTTTGTTGAACTATTAATGAATTATTTTGTTGAACTATTAATAACTATTAATGTATTATTTTGTTGAACTATGAATGTATATTTTAGGTTAATATGTTAAAATTTACGAGTATAGAGTTAACATTCAATTAAACTGCATTGCCATGCCATCAAATGGGTTGTACTTTTGTATATAAATACCTTTATAGGTTATATAGTTGGTGACTGCATGCTTGTGGTGATTGTGCCGAGATTTGTCTGCATCAAATTGTCGCTCCAGTTAATAACCAATAGGGAGTGACTTCTGTCGTAGACGAGGCAATGGGATTTTTTTTAGAATACCAGACACAACTTCTCGTTTAAATGGCAAATCGCATAGTTTACAAGTTATTGTCAGATTTTGTATGTGCACAACAGGTATCATTCCACTGCAGCACAATGATACACTCAAGAACCAAAAGGGTGGTGGCGTATTGAAGATTTCCGAAAAGGGAAGGGGTATTTTTTGGAATGTCCCTTAATGCCTCAACATGCTACAAGAAAACTTAGTTTAAAGGCCATACATATTCAAAAGTACATTTATCAACAAAAAATCCTGTAACGAATCGATCAGTTCAAACTTCAGTTATGGCCATTTGAAGGTTACATTGAGTACACAAGGCCATCTTTATCTGTCGAAGACAGATGTATTAATAATTCTGCTATCTTTTTCGTGCAAGTCAGTCAAATTGATATGAAGAAAATACAGATAAATAGCTAATACGCCATAAAGGCGTTACCAGATGGGGTTTTCTCATTGTTGACATATTGCATTCAAATAAAACAAAATTCACTCATGGACGGCGTGACATACGACGGGTTGACGTCTGATACGTAGCCTACTATTACAACCGTATACTATTTTACTATGGCAACAGAAGTAAACGTTGGCTGTATTCAAACAAGTTGTTTCTTGCATAAAGTACTTAAGGGGGTTATAATAAAGGGTGTGTTTCAAAATAGCTCCCTTTATCATTATTTAGTTGGCCTAGATAAAGTCTTTGTTTTCATACACTAACACGTATTTGTCTTGGAATGTTCTTCGGCATATTTTTGATATCAGAATCCACCTTTTCTCATCGTTACAGCTTGCCATATGGGGGGAAACATCATATCGCGCGTGCTTTTTTTAGTAATGGATGAAGCAGTTATAGCGTGCGTGAGTTTCAAAAATAGAACCGTCATATAAATTAATCACTGACCCAAATTTTATACATGTAGGTTATGCTATCTAACCCAATAAGCAAACAGTTCGCCTCGGGGCTACAGTATTGTTGGTAGTTTATCATAAAATACATCGTCGCCGCTATATCGGTAGACATGAACCGCTCTGTAAAAATGGGAATATAAAAGTGTGATACTTATTGCATAATTTACAAATTGTAGATATTATATAATTTATTTGTTTCGAAACTAACGTTTTACAGGTACTTTTAAATTGTGAAATGGAAACTACTTTTGATTTACGCAGGAACATAATTTGTTCGAAAGAAGTGGGAATTTCCAAACTTCTGACGTTTCCTTGCATCCGAATCGCACATCCGTTAAAGGAAAAAACCCAATAAAATTTGTGGCTATTTAAGGATAGGTTGTTACCCCCTGAGCAGTGAAGCGCGAAGGGTGTCAAAATAGGGTTGCAGGAGGCTGTAAGTTCCAGAACTGATGCTACCTGGCCCAACCAATTTTAATGTCTCTGTTGTTTTTGTATTTGGGAATTAGATGGAAATGACATTCGACATGTAAAACAATATAAGAAATGCATTTGATACGGAAATAATCAAATATGGGTTGTTGTTTTTTTACAAAGCTCACTTTTATTAAAGAATATCTACTTAATTAATCATCGAACTAATGAACGTGGGCTACTTCGCTGTATATGTCTCAGCCCTGTCAATATCATCCACAACTATGCTGAATATGTCCTTTGTTATTCATAATCAATAATCAACCTGTGCCCACGTATTATTATTTATCATCCGTTATAAATTTTCCACTACATCAATGACAAGGTCGCATGTATACAGGAAATACTAACTTCTAGGCCTACTTCTAGGGGAATTATTAGGAAGGGCATTAATTTAACAAGATATGGGCCATGACCATGGGCATGTAACTCCCTCCATCAACAAGGGTCCCGAAATTATAATCATCCTGCATAACTGTCTGTTTGCCCAGGTCAGCGCTATGGTATTTCCGTCCACTCACCGTTTGAATATTGGTGGGGTTGAAATAGACTAAAATAATATCGAATAGTCTAAATGCCTGACCTATTTCGATTAAGCAGTTCAGACCTGCCTGACTATTTTTATCTCTTCAATGAATCAGTGTATACATCCTAATACATTACATATCGTTCTTAAACACTTGTCGTGTTATGTATGAGCAGGTAATGGCAAGTAGACTAGCACGCGATACTTAATAATCAATTGATAAACAACTGACTGTGACTCAGACAGTTGAATGGCAATCATGCCGCTATGACGACAAAATATTTGCCTTTATTTGGCGGGTCAGTTCTATAATTAGCTTTCCGGGTCACACTAGTTTACGCTGGTGTAATGTAGTAAAATCTCATTGGCTATAAAACCATGACGCATGTTTCTTTACCCCATACTTAATTCTGATTGGCCGATATCAGGAGTATTGACGTCATGTCTTTCAAAACTGGATAACTTAGTGTAGACGGATCATTAGATTCACACGCGATCACGAAGAAGGTTGTGTATCGGAGTACTCGGTCAGTTACATTATAATTTAAGAGAAGTTCATCAGTTTTTGTGAACTATTGTTTATCGGACACTTACCATAGCAGTACTATAGTATAAAAATTACGGTATGGCTTCAGCACTACCTACAGATGCTCAGCGCCTCGTGTCTTTGTCTATTGGAAAAATCGCATCGTCACGATCTCAACGTGGTGGAATCAATTTACACAAAAACTTGCTGGTGGCCAGTGTTCTACACAAGGCAAGAACAAGTTATATGATGGAGAACTATCATAGTTTGTTAGCAGCGAAGAAAAGCCAAAATACAGAACAACAACAGGACATAGTAAAAGAACAAGATGCTCGTGATGAACCCATGAAGAATTCCACACAACACGCGGTCACCCACATACGTCATGAATCGAGAATGGAAAGTGGGTCACATGATGAAGAGGATTTTTCCGTTAGTCCGCTCAACGAGAACAATAAAGAAAATTCCCGCCCAGTATGTTTCAGTGAAAATCAAGCGGTGGTGTCCCGCGACCCGGTATCTAATGCTTTATGCGAGAAGAAAATGGACAATAACAATTCCCAAATCGAATCGGATACAATGAATCATCGACTAGAAAAAGGAGTATCTTCTGATTACGTAACAATGTGTCAAAAGTGTACTGTGAAAAGGCGAAGAAGTTTTGACCAGGAAAATGAATCTTCTTTTCCCAAAAAGGCAAGACTAAGTAATGACAGTGAAAATATGGACATGCAAGTCGAGTGTAGTCAAGTGAACAATTTAGTCAGCATTTTTAACAGTGGTATGAGTGAAGTGTGTACAAATTTAACGGACTCAAGCAGAAGTGATTACGTCAGCCTCGATTCCGAGAACAGAAACAGGTTAGCCAACATGGTCAGTGTGCAAACAGCGTTTACCTCTCAAAACAGGAAAACATCTTTGGACAGTTACTCGTGCTCTGTTCAAGTAAAAGACAATACATATGAAAATTTACCGACAGTGATAGCATTAACGGTTTGAACAGACCAGAGACTAATCATAAACACAGTGTAATCCATACTCACTGGACAAAGACAACACACTTGTCTGCGATTGGATAAAGGGCAGCATTGATTGGTAGCAAAGTACCGGGTTCTGTGCCATAACTTTTATGAAACAACAGAATTGTCAGAAAATAACATTCCACGAGATCAAGGACAATGTGATCATTAAGATTTAGTTATTATGCTAATTGACACTAATTAAAAGCAATTCATGTGATTGTATGAGCCTGTAGAATGAATGTACCGATTAAACAAAGGCTAGGGTATGATAAGTTTATACTGGTTGTCGACCGACATCTAGCTATTAATACTTCTTTGTTTGTCGTGTTAATTCAACTGTGACCAGACTCAGGCAATGTTTGTCGAGACTGGCTTTTGTTTAGGCTTTTCAACTTTGTATGAATCATGTCTTCACGAACAGCCGTCATATGGCCCATTATGGGAACAAATTTATTAAGAGAGTGCAATTATTTAACATTATGCTGTGAGCAAGTGAATATTTTATGGGTTATGAAAATGAATATTTTATTTTATGGGTGATGAATTGATGCCATAATTGAATGAATGAATTGATCAAATTAATTAATATTTATTAAAGTTTTATTTTCTCTAATATAAACTTGTCTTGTGTGTGTTTTTCCTCAATCGCCATTCCTCGATATATTCCGGAGTTATCCGGATTTCTTCATACATAGTTTTTCTTATGATTGATTGTAAACGGTCTTTCGAGACGGGTCAGCGCTCGAAGCCAAAGTTCATACCGGTCAGCGGGTCAGAGTAGAGTTCAGGTTGAAATCTATATCAGTATTTGACATGTTGTGTAACAATACACCATGTACTTGCCACTACATGATGACAATGGAAGTTTTTGTCATGATTTGTCAACAGTGAGCTGCCGGAATGTCAAACATGTTCGCCAGCTCTTCGAACAGTGGAATGTCAAATACTTAAGTCAGTTGGCGAAAACATGAAACTATTAAATACAGTTCTGTGGCGCAAGATAAAACATGAGGCCAGGTCAATGAAGATCCTGAATATCAGACTTCGAGAATTCCTTTTATATTATTCCAACAGTCGCGTCTGTTAGAGACCATCCATCGCTGTGGACTATAGTGGCAATTTTGAAAACCCATCAAGTAAATACTTCCGCAATTGATAATTACCACACCCAGGTCCGTAGACATCCCATGGTGCCCTCTCGCCCCACCTCGCAATAATAACCTCTCTGTACATCTAGCATTAGTCTTGGACATGCCCCTGAAGTGGACCATCTTACCCCTAGCTACCCTTCTTTGGACCTGCGTTACATTACCAGGCAATATTCCATTCCGCATAAATTGCCCCTGTCCCGCCGTCCGACCCTTGTATCTATAGCCAT